GTCCTTGTGCATTGCCCAGGCTTTGTGTGCTGCTCTGTCCTGCTCTAGCTCTAATTTGGGTAGTCCCCTGTACCACTTAAAAGTCTAGCATTAATCAGTTCTTCTCTTGGTCATTCTCAAATTTCTTTCTTAAAGGAAGCATTAGTAGTTTTAGCTCTCAATTTTATGTTTATTTTTGAGAGAGGTTTTATAAAGATTCCTTAAGTAATGTTTAGTCTGTTTGCAAAGTCTTATATCAACATGCTTTTGAATTTGCCATGTCATGTAGGGAGACATAACACACAGGGAGTTTTTTTAACTGTGAAAAGCAATATGGCTCTTGGCAGCTTTGCCTCCCATTTTGTCTCTTCCTAAGCTGGAAAATGGATTTATTTTGTTAAAGCCAAAAGACTTTAGAGTTACTTAAGGCCGAGTAGGAGCTGCCGACTTTTGTACCCTCACTGTAGCATTCCCATGGCTGCTGGAACAGGAGCACTTTGCAAAATTAGGTAATTAGTGCTTCCTTATTAAAGTTATTAATGACTCTGCCCCATGTTGTATTAAAAACAATCCTGAATATTAACCTTATGACCTAAAGGGATTTCCTCTTGTAAGTCATCTGTTAAATTTTTTTAGCTCATAAAAATATACATTTGTATTTTGTATTCTTCCTGTAGATAACCATTTCTATTTAGCAAATTTTAAAAATTCAGCTAAACAGAGGGAAAGGCAACCACAAAATAGTATCTCAGAGTTTACATGAATGAAGAACGTTTGAAGTTCAGAATTTCAGTTTTGCTTTCAGTAAGACAGAAATATTTCCTTCAGTTTGCAACAAGATTAGAGTAATTCAGGGCACATAATCCCCTTCACAATGTATCGTCTGTGATGGAGTATTTTCAGAAAACTGCAAGAACTTGCAAAAAAGTGTGAGAGATCTTGTGTCTGCATGAATTAGTGTTCATAATAATGATTACTGATTCACTGCTGTGTTAAATGCTGTAGATCAGACTAGCTGAATTTTTATTCAGAAGAGCTTTGGCCTACAGTCAACCTTTTGGTTTCGTATCTGATGCTCTGTGTATATTTTGCCTTCATTTCTTCCTCCCCACCCCCCCCCCATTCTTTCCTTTTCCTATCTCTCCTTCCAGTAAGATAAGTTACTAATGACCTCTTTGGCCCCGTGTCCTGATTTTGTGGTGAGGAGCTCTATTCACAAATCCACAGACCTAGATGCCTTCTGGTTGTATATTTTCTTTCTGGAATGAGAAAGTAATAACATAGCTTGTTTAGCTTTTACTGGTTTTAACAGCAGGCATAAGAAAGCTTTTCTTAACATTTTTTTTATATTAACAGTCCATTCTTAATAGCCTTGCATTCTCTACGAGACTAAAAATAGTAGTCAGAGTAAGCATCCTTCTGGATTGTGTTTGTGGAGCTGAACAAATGGTTGATATTACCAGCTGGTAACATATGACACCAGCACTAAAATGCTGGCATATATTAGCTGTAACCCCATTTTGCAAGAGATTGCTCTATTTTGCTTTCATTGAGCATTCACATTCTCTTTACTGTTAAAATCTCTTATCAACTTTGATTCAATGCCAGAAGTTTTTTTAGCCTTTTTCTTGCTTATCCATTTTTAAAATGCAGCCTGCAGCAATAAGACCTAAAAATTCATGAGGCCTGAAGGCACTGTCACCCTTCAAACACCATCAAAGCACCAAAATTACCCAATGGTAAGCCCAAGCCTTCCCACCAGCCGGTTTGGCCAATCATGCTGCCATTTGCAATTCAAATATGTGCTCACTGAAAGGGAACATTTACTTTTAGTGTTATTGCCAGGGAAATACAGAAATAAAAATCAGATTTTGTCAACAAACTGTACATAGACAAATCCCTTTTCAAATTGTTTAGAATGTGAGAGGAATACCCCTTAATGCTTGTTTTTCCTCTGGCTGCTTTACAGGTTTGTACACCCTGAGAGTAACCTGCTTTTACCCCAGGTTTAGTTTATGCTCATGTAGAAAATTACTGATAGAGTTTACTAAATACTAAAACTGTGCATTTACAGTTGCAGTTCACATTAAAAAGAGTATTGGTGCACCCAAAGACCAGTTGAGCCACAGTGTTTGATATCTGCAGTGAGGCTGTGAGTTCAAGAGGCTTCATAAGGCAGCTGGTCCCAGCATTTGGTGTGAGTTGTGGTCCCCACCAAAGGGAGATGGGTGTGGTTGAGTGGGTGCAACCACTAAGAGAGCACTAACTCAGCTATGGCAGTGCTGTTTCTTTGCCAGCCCTTTTCTAAATGTGACTGAAGACCCAAAACCTTGACTATTTGTGCTTCAAGAAGTCAGTGTCACACAAGGGGTCGGCTGACCGTGCTCCTGTCTGTTGAATTATGGCCTCTATGTACAGAACCTTCTGGCAGGTTGGACTGTTAGATGTGACCATTTCATGCAAGAAACTCTTATCACCTTCAATTCAATGCCAGAAGTTTTTTTAGCCTTTTTCTTGCTTATCCATTTAAGATAGGGCTGTGTTTGGGACAAAGGAATTGTATGTGTGTTCACAGCTTGTAATTCAGCTGAAGTACACACTCATAACCAGTGAGAAATATGGGAATTCCAAGTTTTGACAAATTGTTGTTGGTTTGATTAGTTTTGAAGAGATGGCCAGCTAACATTTTCAGTTCTTTAGACACTGGCTTTTTTTTCTGGACATACAGCTGTGGATCTTCTATTTGGATTGTGATACTGGTCTTCATACACCTACAAATGTAATCCCAGTGAGCAATGCTAGCCAAACTATGCAAGATCAAACCTCCAAACAAGGTGTGGAGATATTTTACTACCAGGGTTAGCTTAGAATCCCATCTGCAGGACTAAGCTGTGCATCTCCATGTGGTTTCCCTGTAATGCCCTGTATAAGAATGTGCATTTATTGTAGGGCCTCAAAGAGCTCAGTCAGAGCTGAAGGCTTCCAACCTGCTAGATCATGTGCAGACCTGCAATCATGCTTTTGGTCTCTCATCATCACCCCATCCTTCCCCTTATTTTTCCTTCAGTCTTCTTTTAAGCCATACCTTCCTTTGACTCTAAATGGAGTTTGCAGACTTCATGGCAGCTGGGCAGGATGGGATATCAAGCTGAATACACAAAACAGATAAAAGCAAAGACTTGATAGGGACCCTCTTTTGCCATCTCTCCTAGTTAATTTCCATATATCTTCACATGGAGGCAGAATTTATTTTTCCCCTTCCAAAAGTAATTTCTGATGTTATATCCAACCATATAGCCATGGCTTTTTGTGCTACTACAGGGATGTAGCTCTAGCTTTTGAATTTTAGTACAGTGGTGCTACTGTTTTTGCTAAGAGCTTTCTCTTGAAACATGCACTAAGAGGTCAAAAGTTAAAATAAATTTAAAATATGCTCAAGGGAAAATTCACCACACGTACTTGACTGTCAGGGTTTGAGGATTTTTTCCCCCCTTTTCTTAGTGCTGAAGCATATTAGAGATTTTTATGGTTTTGAGTGTGATCCAGCATTGATACTGTAGCTTTGGAGGAGTGCCAGCAGGGACTCTTACAGAATATCAAGTTTTATACCATCTTATGTAATGTTTATGCGGGTGGGATATGACATATTGAAATTCAATTTATTGAAATTATTGACATTATATTCATGCTGCCCTGCTGCCAGTGGGGCTGAAATGGCTATGTTTTGTGGTGTTCCTGCTTATACAGACATCGACTCTTGGGGAAGATAGGTTTGCATTAATATTTTTATCTTCTTTTGCACCTATGTTCACTAGTGAATTGGTTCCATTATGCTAAATGCCTACACTGTGCAGCCACGGGCAAGTAAATAAATAAGGGAGAGGGTCTGAGTTCTTAAAAATAAGGAAAATTTATTCAGGTTTGCATTACTGGTTAAGGGACCTTCCTCTAGGCAGGCAGGGTTTAGTTTCTCTTTACACAAAAGGCAGTATCTATTTCTCTCGTTAATCCTTTCATTGCAAAACTCATGTTACAACAATGCACAGAAACCTCTCTACATGAGTTATGTCTTTTTGATTTTATCAGTCTAATTCAATCAGTGTGCATCTGTATAAAGCTATCCTGTACAATTCAGATTTTTTCCTGTCTAAGAGACAGAAAGAAAGACATATTTACTCTGAGGTCACTCAGTTGCTATGTCAGAAGTTGGTGGTACCAATACCACCATGCTGGGGGAAGGTTGTGTAAGAGGACCCACTCTCCCAGACAAAGTACTACTTAGAGTAAAGCCAATAAAAAAATCTATGTCAGCACCAAACTGTAAGTGAATGTAAAAGCTTTATATCTTTGAAAAGTTTTTACTGTAGAGGCCATCATTTCTGTTAGTTATTAAAAATGGTTTAGAAGACTGTGCCTTTGTGTTTTACTGATATATTCTACTATGAAATTCATCTTGCAATTACAGCACATGCAGCAGGGAAATCATGATAATCAAATTTATTTATGTATAAAGGAAAAATATGCCTGATACTTACAAGAGAATTTGCATTCTCTTGGGCACTTCTGACATCTTCTCGTACTTTTGTTTTTCTGTATAGAGGATTCTCAGGTGTTTGTGACACATCTGTTTTTAACGTCATTGCATAACAGTTTTTTCCTTTAAAATTTCAAAAATCCTTTACAGGATTCAGCTTTTCTATTAACAGGATTATAAAGTTTAAAAAAAATAGACAGTATTGCAGTTGAAACAGACTGAAGAATTTTTACACATACTTCATTTGTGCTTTAGAAATTTGGCTATTTAGGAAACCTACCCTCATTGTTTTTCTTCAGCTCATTGCAGAATCTATAATCAATTCAGCAAGAAGATGCTTAGCCAATGCTTTGAAAGATCTCTACATAATATTGCCATGTCATTCTGCCGGTTAGGATTATGTTACTTGCTTCATGATTGCTACTCATTTTTTGCCAGTGTAATCAATAAAAGTGACACTGAGAAATCTGATCTTCCTTTTCTGCAGGCCAGCTTTGGGTGGTCTCCTTACATCATCTTTTCGGCAGCACCAGGAGTCCTTGGCAGCAGAAAGAGAACGACGGCGTCAGGAGAGAGAAGAAAGGTTGCAAAGGATAGAACGTGAAGAAAGAAACAAATTCAAGTAGGACCCAAATTTGCTCTCAGTCTGTTGCTTTAATGTGTGATAGATTGATCAATCATTGGGACATGCAAGTGCAAAATAATTGAATTGATGAATAATTGTCTCTTTAGATACTTTTCTTGATCTAAGTATCTTAAAAACTGATAGATTAAACGCATCACAAATTTTGGCATTTCATAAAAAAGCTATTTTTTTAAAGACAGCCAATTATACTGCCTGAGTATGTACAGAGGCTCAATTTTATAATTTTATTAGATAATATTCTCACCAAATTACAATCTCAGTGAGGTATAGGATTTGAAGGTGAAACAGTGGGACAAATGTATCAAGAAGGGAGGAAGGGACAGCACTGAAACATCATTTTGCTTTTAAGTTAAGCAAAGTAAAAATGTCCTGCTGTATGGTAGTGGTTTTCAACTACTTTTTCCTGTGTTTCTGAACACGTGTCTCTTCCTCCTGGAATCAACAACTGACAGAAGGTAATGACCAAAGTAGCTGTTCAAACCTTGGCCAGACAAATGTCATGGCTGAATGTGGGACTTCGCATTTTCACATCTGAGAAAATGTTGTGTGATGTGGGATGCCAGGGTGTGCTGCCTGGGGATAGTAAATGACAAGCCCCCCTCAACCTCTTCAGTCCATGCCTGGAAATCCCAGCAGAGACATTAACAAAGACTGCAGTGGGCCAAAGATAGATATGGAATCTGTACCTGAAATTGTGTGCCTTCAGTCTGAAGAGTGTACACTAAGAAATCAATTTGTTTCCTCATTGACAGGAGGGAAAAGCAAACCTATTTTTAGTATTTAGAAGACATAATTTAATAACTGAAAGAATGGTAATATAAATGTTTTGTAGCCTTAGAATTGGTAGTTACAGAAAAGATGGCACAGGGTTTCATGTTAGCTTGTTTACTAGTATGCAGGATTGTTTTCACTGTAATCATCCCTTTAGTAAAAAGTGGAAACAGGCTGTGATTCTGTGAATTTGGAAAGAGGAGTAACTTAGGAGTGGTTGATTGATATTCTCCTGGCTCCAGAAGATAGCTAGTTTAGAAGGAAATGAGAGACAGAGGGAAGGTGGAAGAGCACCATAATAGGATCTTTGGCAGCCAGGAGCTGCCCAAGTCCTCCTGAAACAGAAACAATAAGGTTGCAGTCTTCCAGCCTCTTCCAAAAACTCTCCCTCTAAGTGGTATCATCAGGCTGCAGCAGGCTGCCATGGACAGCCAACATGATCTTTCAGAAAGGAAACTCCCAGACCAAAAAAGCCAACAGGGCATTTGGCAGATTGACCTGTTTGAATAACAGATCTGCACATTTCAGTAGAGGTTGGCTACACTGGTTGTTCTGTCACTGAAAGAGATTTCTTAAAATCAGAAAAAAAAAATCAAAATATACATTTTCATCCCTTCATTTCAGAGTCAGAAACTGATTAATTAAATCTCATAATTATGCTACATATTTAAGATTATTTTTCAATGCTCAGTGTTTTCATCTTTTGGATTGGAGTTTTGTGATCACCCAAAAGTTATAGCTTTTGTTTTAGCAGAGGGTCTCCAAAGCCACCAGACTTCTCAAACAGACAGCATCCCACAGTTGATTAAATAGTCTGGCAGGAGGAAGACAAAGTCACAGCAAGCAGTCATGGACAGTTTCATAAGAGTTCCTGGGATTTCATTCTCATATCATCAGTCTGGCTAGAAACCCAGTCTCTGAAGATGTATTTTTGATTAAAAATAGCACTTGCAATTCAGTCTTTAAACTCGTGAGCCGTACTGGATTTACCATCATGACTCATTTGTTATCTAATTCTTTCCAACTCTGCCTCAAGAACATTGCACTAGGTTCTGGCACCATTATTGACAAATTGAGGATAATTTAAAGGAAAGCATCACTAATTGTGAAAGAGCTTGAGGATGGGAGAGCTGGAGGATTAGGAGAGGAGCTACAAAGCTTCATAAGCAATTGCTAACTAAAGGAATGCTTTGCAGAATGAACATTTTTCTCAGTAGAAGGACTATTGTACCCATTGCATATGTAGAACAATATGTCATAAAATAAAGTGGTTATTTTTCAGCTGTAGGGAAGAGTGGAAGTTGTCAGAAGGGAAAGAGAATTGTTAAAATTTGCCTGCTGAAGATTTCCTGGAATACTTTTAAAATATTGTGAAGGTATAATCGGTTCAGAATTCAAAGCCTGTGGAGATAGCCTGAAACAGTAATGTGTGTTCCCTGTTAAAGGACTTTTGAAGAGCACTTGCACCCAGATGTTTGATAGCTATTGGTATAATAGATAAGTAATTCAATTAATGACACTATATAAAGGGGAATAAAAGGAGTAGTTCTGAAAATATTTCTGGTACAGCTTACACTGTGAAAGAATCTAGCAGATAAGGTGAAGATCACATCAGTTTTGTCTACCAGATTCAACCAAGTATTAAAAATACATTGTAAGGAACCATCTTGCTGTGATAGTGAGACAGGGTGGACATTTGCTGGGTTCTGCTGTGCTCTGAGTTAAATTTGCATCCATGTTTGTGGATGTGGCAGGCCTGTCTGAAATCACAGTACTCAAGCATCCAGCAAACTTGACTTGGCAAAAGTTAAATATATGGGTTAAGTGAGGAGCTGTGGGAGTGGCAGCTGACATAAATGGAGTTTTGTATCTAAAACTCTGGGTGAAAAATGAGGAAGTGAAAGGTGGTTATCTGTCCAATGATGCCGCACACACCCTGTTGGAATGCAGAATTCTCCTTCTTAGTAAAGCCAGTCCCCTGTTCTGTTTCCAGTTAGCTGTGGCAACTAAAACTCACTAAGGAAAGGTTCCTTAGAAAGAAGGCCAATAGGTTTACCCACTGCCTCAGGTCACAGCCAGGAGCTGCAGTCACTGTCTTGGGGCATTCTAAGATGGAGTGAATGAGGGATGGTTTAATAGGCACTCATGTGCCTGCTCCCTATGGATAAGTGCAGTTCATTGAATCTCATTTCAGATACCAGATTTCAAAGCATGATTCAGGTTTTTCACTTATTGCATGTTTTTTAGAATTACTTTGAATTACCTTTGAAACTACATATTTGGTGGTGTATGTATGGATAAGTGTGCACTTTTCAGCAATTTTTGCAAAAACAAACAGTTTTTTTTGACAACAGCCTTCATTGTCTCCAAAGTTTGTGTGTACCACTCTTGGTTTCTCCTATTGTACTTATATTTCTATTACTTGCCTTTTTCTTCTGGTTTCTGCTGCAATTTACTCTAATTCTCTTTCTAGCCGGGATTATTTAGACAAAAGAGAAGAACTAAGACAAGCAAGAGAAGAGAGGTTTGTATGTCATGCATCCATCCTTCCCTATCCTTCCCTCTGGTTGTTTGTACTTCCTATATTCTTTGCTGTGGAGCTGTCGTATGTTTACATTTTTAACTCTGCTTGCACAAAACACTTTTATTCCAAAGGACTTCTATAAGAAAGAAGTTGTTAAAGAGCAGAATGAAGTCCAGCTGTAAGCACAGCAATAAATGAAGAGCAATGAGAATGCTTAAGAATGATTGATAATCCTTTATCTATTTGTGTGGGAAATAAGCTTACCCCATTTGCCTCAGAAATGTGCCCAAATTTAGTAGAGTTATAAATTGAATTAGCCTGTCTTTTTCACCCAGTGGGTCCCAAGCTTTCCGGAGGGTCAGAAAAGGCAAGTGAGGATAAAGGAAATTGGGGTCACAAACATTGCAAAACTGCAGTAACAGGCTGATGGAAATGGTTCTGACCCACTCTCAGCATATTTTTATCTTTCAGAGCCAAGTTTTCTTTGCTGATCTCTTTAAACATCAGCAAGTAAATTACAAAGCTTAGCAGTGTTTATCATTGGGGCATTGTTTTAGTTTTATTTAAATAGCATATTTGAAGGGATGGAGGGTTTGGGTTTTATTTTTCCTTTTTTTTTTTTAATTCAATGAACAAGTTTAGAAATTCTGGGCTAGGCTGGGAGGTATGTGCTTATAAAAGCATATTTTTCAAGGAATGCTTAACTAAGGACTTTTGTCTTTCAGTAGCTTCATCTCTACCCCTGCTAGTAATTGCATCCTGGAGGGAGTGCTTGTTTTTACCTGGAAAATATGCAAGTTACTGTACAAATAGATGAAAAATCATCCTGAGTGCTTCAGTTCTGCTTTTATGATCCTCTAGAGATTATAGAGATTACTCTCTGGAGATACATTTGGATTGTCAAGAATTGGAGTTACATTATCAAAATAAGAGAGCAGCCATCTCAGAAATCATTGTGTTGCTATGTTTTCACTTGGGGTTTTTTCTGGTTGCTTTTGTGTTTTGACCTTTTTTTTTCACAAAAATCATCATACAGGAGATAGTTTGTTTCTGCAGACTGAAATTTTACCTGTTGAGGATGAAGTAGCTAATATTAAAAAATTATTTTAGCATCTCTTACAGTAAGAAAAGGTGAATAGGCTTTCCATTGTGCTTCCAGTTCCAAAACAATTACAAATAGTTTAAAGCATTTTCTGAAATGAAATGCATCTGAGCATATAAGCATCATCACTGAGCCGAGTAAAACCTTTCTTCAGTGAGCATGCTCATCTGCAAGTTTTGAAACAAATTAGAAGGGAGTTTTTTAGAACTTTCAAATTGTAAGGGAAAATGACAACTGGAATATTCTTGGGGAAGTGTTCACCATCACTGCTGCACAATCTGAGACTATTTCACCCTTCATTAGTAATGTTTTGTTATCCTTAGGGCTCTTTTGAACTGAGATATCAAACTATCAGTTCCTACTCATAAAGAGGAAAGACGTGTTTGCTTTGACAGCAGATAAATATTGGAAAAAACTTCTGCAAATGAATTCTTGCATCAGTCGTCCATTACATTGGCATTCTGTAACTACTTTTTTATAGACACTTTTGCACAAATGAAGTTTTATTTCCTATAGGAAATTGCATGATAACTTTTTTTAGTAGGCTGCATAGACTGTAAGAAAGTCCTATTGTCAAGGTGCCTAAAATCCTAGTTAACAACTGATTTGTATGTTTCCTCCATATCAGTTCTTGCTGTTCAATGATTTGAGGCCTTTTCCCTTTGCTTGGTTGGATGTTTTCCAATGGTAATTAAAGAATAAAACCAAGAAAGGGGAGCTCCCAAGCCCTCTCTGGTTTGAGGTACAGTTCAAATGCTCTCTACCCCCATGACTTTGTTGGTACCTTAATATTTTAAGTTGCCCTCAGGGCATTACTCAGATGCCTAGAGAACTCAAAATGATAATTTCATCTACTTGAAAATGATAAATCCATTCTTATGTTCATGAGGGATACCAAATGGATAGCCACAGACTTTTGGCTCGTTGTCTATAGAGAAGAGTCAGCATAGCTGAGATGATGTCTGCAGGTTCCCAGGATTTAAAAGAATATAGCAGCATATATGGGAGCAATTTGTCAATCGTGTAGTGGAGGTATGGTAGCTCATCCTTTCAACCCTTTCAGATTTTGGTCTATGTGACCTTGCAGATCTGCTGATGGCATTTATTCAATATGAAGATATTTGTCAGAAACAAAAAATAACCTAAATAATGTCATTTATCAAGTGTGAAGCATTAATAACTGATTCTTGAATGTTTTTTTATTTCTCAGTGATACCTATTTATTAAGCTTCCCATTTGATAACGAGTTCTGCTGATGTGCTGCCATTGGAGTTGCTGTTCTGGTTCCCATTTTTGTTTCAGTATAATAGTCAGATACATTTTGAAAAGTCACCTCTTGATGACAGTCTCTGCTTTGCTGGTTGGCGGTGCAGCATGCAGCTACAGAAAATGTTAAAGCACCTGAAAAAGAGCTGAGGACAATAAAATATTGTAGCTCCCCACATCATATAAGGATCCATCCAGATCTTTGTTGTAGTTTGTTGGCGAACTGCAAAACCCCCTTGGCAGCAGCCAGCTGGGCTGTACCTGTTAGTGCCAAGTGATCAATTTGACTGGCTCTTTATGAGTCTGGAGTCCCATCTGCTCTGCTTGTGAGGAGGTGGAAGGCACTGTATATAAGTGACCAACATTCAAAGAAAGAGTGGCTTCATGAGCTGTAACAAAACATCATGCTGATGCCAGAGAAATGCTTTCCCCTCTATTGAAAAGGCAAGATTCAGTCTCGAGAATTGGCTTCTTGTTAGAACTGTAAACAGTTCCTATTTTATAACCATGCAAGTATGTAGCTTGTTATATTTTCATCCAGAGTCTGTGGGGGTTCTTTTTCTTGCAGAATTTGTTCAAAGCCTGTGCATACCTCTGGAGGAATAAAGGAAAATGAGTTTGTTCTTCATTATTGCTGTTTGCAGTAAGGCAAATTGCCTCTGAAAACACAAGGACTGCTCTTCAAAGACACATTTCTGTCCTCTATATGAATGTTTGCAAATGTGCATGTGTGTGTGGCTACCATATGTACTTAGCATGTTTGTTGCCACATGTGGCTGACTTCTTTACCCTGCCTGCTTTTAGTGCACCCTTTTATACTAATTTGGGCTGTCAGTGATGCAGAAGGGGGGAGGAGAGGTGTTCAATGTTATGAAGTGTTTACAGCAGTGTGTTATAGGGAATGACCAGAGTGTTTCAGAGACATAAGAAGTAGTCCTGATTAACCTGTTTAACAACTAACTTGTGGATAAGGCAAACAGTCTAAAGCCCAATCCAGCTGTATTCATGAATTTATTCCTTAGCAAATAATGGTGGATAAAATTAGCAGACATCTGGAACAGGCACATATTTAAAAGTTATTTTGGTCGAAATGTATAAAGCATACTATGAAGAATATGATTGGTAGCTGGTCTTAATAAACAGTTAGTGAGTTCTGCCTGCCTAAAATGCAAAACAGATGTATCTTTGTTCTTTTAAAGTGACTTTGATGAATAAACTACATGTGACGTCAGGTACAAGCTATTGGATGTCTGAGTCCGGCAGAGAAATTTTTCAGAATAAAAAAAAAAACTTTCCATTGTAGGCTCTGGAGAGAACAAAGTGAATTCCAGTGCATTGCTCTCAGAGCAAATAGAAGCAGGTTCAGAATCTTTAGATAGTCAATTCAGATGTTTATTATTGGTGTTATTTTCAGGAAGATCTGGTTTTGTCTGCTGCATTTTCCTCTCCTTACAGCAAGTCTCCGATTTTGGCAATTTGCACCAGTATTAAGGGGCTCTGGGTTTGGAGAGGTTTTTTTTTCTTCTTTTGGTTGTTTTTTTTTTCTCTCCCGTTTAGTTTTGGGAGAGGGAGGGCTGAGAGGAGGAGGAAGAGGAGGAGGAGGAGGTGAAAGAGGCGGGTGAAAAGGAGGACAGACAAATGCTTCCAAAAAGGAGGGCTGTGCAGACAAAATACTATAGCTAAAGGTTCTTTAACTCTGCTGGTTTTTTGCTTTTGTATTGTAATGAGCAATACAACATTTTTCAGCACGGTAGTCTTTGCTTTAGTGTGCCCTTTTTGGCAGATTGAGCAAGCAGGCAGTTCAGTGCTGTACTCCTTGTGTCAGGAAGTCAGCTCATTTTCTGCAGGTGTTTCATCCATAAACAAGCATCAGCCACAGGCTTCTTTTTCTTTACGGAAACCCTCTGGAATTTAACTTTCAGATACAAATACTTGGAGAAGTTGGCAGCAGAGGAGTATGAGAAGGAGCTGAAGAGTCGGAGTGTCAGCCGAGGCAGAAGTGAGCTGTCCTTGAACCTGAGATCTCCTTCAGCTCCATCCTCACCTGTACCCAAGTGCATCAGCCCAGCATCCATAGAGTCCCAGGAAGAGTTGAAGACCCCTTCCATCCCGTGTGGAACTCCTCAGGCCTCAGAAGGTAAGTATAAAGGAGGGTAGGGGAAACAATGCTACATTTATCAGTTTCTCTTGGGATGGTGATTTTTGATGCATGAGTGCAAGAATGCAATCTATAAGGTGCCAGAGTAAAGGGTCCTACATTGTTCCATCCTGTCTTCCTAAATTGCCTATTTTTTGCATTGATTTGGATATCATGTAATCTGTTCAATAATAGGATACATTGCAAATTGTTGCTATGATTCATACTATCATTTTCTGTTGCTTTTCAAATGGAATAATTAGAAAATAGAGAATACAGAGGGTCTTAATTTTTGTGTCATGTTCCTTATATATGAGGAGTTACTGAATACTAGACAAACAGTATTCCTGCCAACAGATTTTGCGTATGTGGATTCTCTGAAAGAAATGCAGCAGATGAATGCCAAGATTATAATAACCTTCCAGTAGAGCACAGGCTGAATGTGACCAAGTGAAAAGTTCTTGAATTGAAGGCAGGAGGAGTGTGTTAATTATTTTTAATACCAAGAAAAAACTCTTAAAATTGTAGCACAAGTCATAAAGGACTTAAAAGAGACCACAGACAATTAGTAAAAAGGAAAGTATAACTAGTGTTTGCATGGTTGGTTGGCTGTCACATAATTTATTGGATTACAGAGCAATGCTTTTTGTGTATGTTTGTATGTCATTCTGCCACTTGCATCATGTACCTCTCCTTCAGTCCTCAAAACAACACATGCCATACAGATTTATATTTGCACCACATGATGTTGCATTAACATTGGGAGCTAGAATGCATGTTGAGGGCAAATTATCGCCATCACTCATTTTTATTTTATTTGATTTCCTGCTACATGCTATTGGTGATTAATGCATTTGTAACTTGCACTGCTTGGTTTTATGGAGTGTTATGGCTGGTAGCATGCTATAAAGCAAGGCAATTTAAGAAAAACGTTACAAATACTGAATGCTGCATATGTTTGTCCTCACCGTACTGAGTAGGTGAAGTTTATTTTATTTAGTTTTATATATTTTCCCAATTATTTTCCCCAATTTTCTTGTTTGGAACCTTAAGAGTCTCAGTGGAATAATTTGAACTTAGAAACCACAGATTTTTTCCTCCAATACTGATAGTCAGAACTATCCAAACACCCATTTTGTTTAGTGCTATATTGCTTTTAGACCAAATAAGCTGGATTTTTCCACCATTAGGATTTCAGAGCTGGGTAGGGAGCAAGTATCTTTTGTGATGATTATTTTAACATATTTCTCCTGGAAGCATTAAAAAAAATTGCAGCATGAAATGGAGCAGCACGAACCATTTGGAGAATACATTTAGAGCAGGTGTACAGGGCAGCTTCAGACAGCCAGAATATGGCAAAGCTATCAACATGTAGGTAGACAGGACATCTCTACTAAAACTCCTGGCAATATAGTAGGCATTGGAGGGCAGCACCTGGAAGCCTGGCAAATGGTCCACAAGGAGAGAATATATGGATGGGGCAGGGCAGCCTTCCAGCCAGGGGCAGCTGCAGGCAAAGAGCCAGGATAGAACCTAAACAGAGGCCTGAAATCTGCATACTTCAGCAGGATCTGGGCATGGGGAATGACTGTTTTTTCAGACCTACCAAGAGCATTGGAAAGATCATAGGTAGTCATGAGCTTGTGGGCAGGACACACCATCTGGAAGTGCCCATTTTATTGGATATCTGCCAGCAGGGGACGGGCTTAATGTAGACACTGTGCCATGGTCTCTGTACTATTACTTGACTTTCTTATGCTCCATACTGAATTAAAATCTCAATTTTACTGGTTTTAGGAAGGGTTATGAATCCCACTTAATAGGTAGAGAAAATGAGTCATTAACTTCCTTAAGTCAGTTGTAAGAAAAGCTGAAACAGAGCCATGAACAGAACTCAGATTACTTGCACCCCAAGCAGTTGCTTTTAATATAACGGGGTTCACCATCTTCCCAAGCAGGAATGAAACTGCAGAAGGAAAACAGTTCCTTGATTCTGTGCATATGATGCTTTAAAGACTCTGCAAGAATGGTGTTAACAGATGTGTGATATTCATTTGCAGAATTCAGAACCTGAGGTCAAAGGCAAAGAGTGTTCATCTACTAGCAAAACAATAAGGGATTTTTGAAGTCAGACTTATTTTATTCCTTTTGTGCTGAAATATCCTTTGGCCAATCCAGTACCTGCTGTTATTAAGAAGGAAACAGATTCTGTCTGTGGAACTTTGTCTCACACTGTGAAATGTGTCAGTACCATTACCCAATATAAAAATCTGGACTTACTGAGCTGCAGTGTTTTCTTGTATAAAACAATTGGTTCCACTAAAGTAATCAAGTCTTGTAGGACTTACTCTTGTAAAACTTGTATTGTGGCATTCAGAGGAAATGAAGGCAGTCCTGTAACTACAAAAAGGAACTTAATTTTTTTCAGAGCAGCTACTTACTCTTTTGTAATTTAATTGGAGAATATTTTGTGAAGTGCAAGTATGCAGTAAAGGAGGAGCAACAATAACTGAGACATCTCTGAAGTCAATCTACAAAGGAATTTCAGGTGAACCCTTCTGTGAAAGAAGCAGCTTTTTTAGCACTTAAGAAAGTAAGCAGGCCAACCAAGTGCACATGGTGGACAGTAGGAGACCTTCTGAGCATAGTGAAAGTTGAGCAGGGTTAGGATGCTGCCCAACACATGGCATCTCAGCAGATGGAGAAGCACCAGAGCATGAGCATGGAATGAGGCCAATGCAGCCCAAGTTGTAGAGCCAAAGGAAACATGATACAGAAAATGCGAGGAGGATCTGGGGTGGGAGGACAAAAAATGAACATTTCTGACTGCATGAAGAAAGAGCCAATTCAGTCTGCACCTGTTCTTACCAACACAAAGAATGGGAGGAAAAAATTGGAGTGGGAGTGGGGAGGGATAAAGAGTCCCTGCAGAATTCAGAGGAAAAGGAATACTGTGCTGGAGTAGCTGAAGGGAGATAACAGCCAAGACTTTAGGCAATGCCTGAACAATTGACCAAGAGGTCTTGGGCAGACGTAGACATTTTCAGACTTACTGTATGCATCCACGAGAGACACCAAACATCTCTATCTTACACCTCCAAGTGGAAGGCAGAGAAAATAGATGGGGATGTGGCTGGCTAATCAATTAGCCTGACAGGGGATTAGATGTGAGCCCAGAGGGATATTTCTTCTCTCTGAGGGCTTATAGGACTGTAGGGTTGAGTTCTTATCAGCAGGATACAGCATCTTGTGTCTGCTTCAAAGTTGATTTATAGTTGAGTATTAAAGGAAATGTCCATATCCCTCTACCACATTATAAGTTCTTAGGCTTGCTTTTCAGAAGGGATCAGCTTATAAAGGTATCATGCTTCTTAACATCTCAGGCACACCTTCTTTGCTGTTGATGCTTTTTGATTTGACCAGGCTTGCTTTCCTGAGTCTTTGCAGTCTCCACCAGCAAGAAGTCTGAAGACAGGGGACAGAGCCTGGTCTGTTATTTATTTCTCTTGCCACCTGTGAGGTTGCCACTTAGAGTAGTGTTTTGTCTGATATGAAAATGGACTCAGTAGGTGAAGGACTGAAAGTTTGGGCTCATTTCAAATAGGCCATTACCAAGCATTCACTGAGAATTGTATTTTTTAACATCTTCAGAAGTTCTCACTAATATCAATGCAGTCATGGAAATGCAAGTGATAGACACATGTCTAGCTTGCTGGCTTTGTTCTCTTGGTAGTGTTTCCTGGCAGATTGGATTTTTGTACTGTTTCTTAAGGAAAGTGCTGCTGGACTTAGCTCACTGTTTTCAAGTGATTTTAGCTATAGGTAGATTGTTTGATATTATCCCGAGAGAGAGAGAGAGAGAGAGAGACTGTCAAAATGAGTGTCAATATATCCTTGTTTTGTTCCAGTACTTAGATTATGTTATTCCTGGAACTCAAAAGAGCAGACTATGTCAGTATAGTGCTCTTTACTCTTTGTTATGTATTAGATTTTGCTAAGTTGCTGCATATTTCTGGTATATGTGAAATATTTCTTGTTAGAAGAATATCTGGAATTCTTTTGAACATTCAAATTTTCTCAAGCATTTCTTACATCTCCCCTGACTTTTTTCTATTGAATCTTCAGTGTGGCTTCATGATGACAACGTTGCAGTAAGCTTTAGGAGTCCTGGCCGTGTTTTAATTAGCTTCTTTCTCCATCTGAGCTGTTGGAGTTGACTTTTTTGGTTATTGCATGACAGTGGGTTTGTTTTTTGGGTTTTTGTAGAGATAAATATCTAACATTTATCTGAAATTAAGATTATTCATGGATGAATTGGTGACATTTGTATATATGGACCACTGAACCATGGCAAGATGAGAATCTTTCTTGCTAAAGTACCACATTAGTTCCAGGAACTCCCGAAGAATTCCTAAGCTTTCATCTCAGTCATATTCAAATCTTGGCTTGACTTTTAAATGTTCTCATTCTATACCTACACATTGACAGCTGTGGTGAGAAACACATCACCGGGATTTGCAGCGTCTGCCAACTTCTTGACAGCCCTCTGTAATTTTGACTCTCTTCTAGGCAGTATCCAGGGTACAGTCATAGGTAAGGTACATTTCGAGAAATGAGGCATGGGCAGAGGTGCTTGCATATCTAGTATTAGACTTTTAGGTGCTCTCAATGGAGAAGAATGTGATCTTCATTATTTTGGCTTATATTTACTTAGGATAAATCTACTTACCTGCTCACTAGAGGACTAAAATATTTGGATTGCATTCCAGTATTTCAGTGTGATTTTTTTTTCCTTCAAAGGTTCATGTTGTACCTGAATAAATTCTCTTTGCATTTTGTGTAATCCTAAGACAATGAGAAGTCCAGAAGACTCTTTTGCAATATTGCAATGAAAAATAGTTAACAGAGAGACAAAACAAGTATGACTTGGTCACTATAGTTCAGCCACCCACAAGATCTAGTGCAGAGGGAATTCAAAACTATGCAGAGCTAACATGCATGTCCATTTTTGCCACACTTTGCATGGCCGTTTCAGAGAACTGTGAGCTTCTTGATGTGATATGTGTGGATGCTCTTCAGTTTCTTTGCAGCATGCAGAGAATATTTGCATGTGAAAATCTGCTGTTACTGCTAAAAACCCTAAAGGTGAATGAATTATTTTTATTGGGAAAGCAGGGAAGAAGAAACCAAGTATACTATCAACAGTATTTGCTGTGTGCCAACTGATAAAAAAGCTCATTGTGTGCCATATGCCAACCAACTGGAAACTAAATATATGCCATATGCCAGACAGTTGGAAACTTTGCTTAATTTTGATGTGGCTATTCTGAAGTAAATGTGCATGAAACAACATATGGTTTTTGTCAGCCAAATGTGTGACAGTGCCATTTCGAGACTGTGCCATTCAAGTGTGTTATTAAAACTAATATTTGTATTTTTTTTGTTGAAGTGTTCCTCATCAGGTGAAAAAAGAACTCTTCCAGAACACAAAGAAAATTCAACCAAAAGCCACAATCACCCTCCTTTTTGTTTGTTTTTTTTTCTTTTTTTTAAATCTCTTCTTTCCTGGCTCTGTCTAGGCACTGAGTTGTCAATGCTCAGGTGAGATGCCCATTTTCTGCTGGTTCGTTCAAATCCTTGTGCGAGTCCAACTCTGCAGCTGTGGAAGTATGTATGAAAACAGTGGGCTGGCTGCAGACAGCCAGTGAGGGGCCTGCCAGGCCACTCTCACCTGCAATGCTGTCGTCACACAACATCCATCAGTCTGTTGCTCCTAATGTTCCTAAGCACGCCGTGGGCTTGCGTTTTATTTTCTTTCCATAAGGCACTTGTACTGCACTCACGTCGCTCTCATTTTGAGGGGTGAACCTGAGATGGCTCCGTTGTTAAGTGAATCTCTTTCTCCCATTGTTCTCTCCACCAGTGAGTGCCAGTGAACCCGAACCAGAGACAGAGACAGAACCAGAACCAGAGCAGGAGGCTGAGGCTGAGGCCAAGCAGGGAACGGAGACACCCAAGGAAATAGAGGCTGCAGAGGTGGGACCAGAGAGTGAGGTGGAGCAAGGACCAGAGAGAGAGCCAGAAGAAAGTGCAATACTCAGTGAAAAGGAGAGGCAGAATGAGGAAGTGAATGAAAAAGACAACTGTTCTGCATCCAGTATATCCTCAGCAAGCAGCACTTTAGAGAGGGAAGAGAGAGAGGACAAGTTAACCAGTGACAATGAAACTGGTAAAGTGAAGCTTTTTCAATAATGAAGGGTTTCTGGTGGAAAAAAAAGTGTTAAATTAGCTCTGATATTGTGTTAATTAGTTAACAAACCTGTCTAAGACTTTCTTCACCATGGCCAAGTCTTGTCTACTTTCTGCTTGGACATCCAGATGTTATTTGGGTTACTATGTTTGAGGGACAGTAGGGCCTTGATGAAATGAAGTTTCATTTGATTTGAGACCATTTTCTTCCCCTAAGATTAATATACTAACTACTGAATCAGCATGTGCAGAGAGTTGGATCTCTAGCTCCTGGAGAACTTATTTGGGTTTTCTGTACATAAGTAAGTGAGACAAAGGGCTGTGCTGGCACGATTCATCATGAAGTTCCAGATACCATTTCTCATAATTTTAGTGGAAAAGGAAGAGCAGTGAGGTCTGAGATGTTTGTTCCTTCCCTTCTGTCTTAGACAGGCTTCAGACAGCAGAGGGAGATACACAGGAGCTGCTGAAGATAGGTCTGGGCTATCGTTAGCTCATGTGGAGAAGGCACATGAAATACACCTTGTCTGGAAAAGACCAGTTTCATGGTGCTGAGGGATTCTAGTCAAATAGGCCACCAGGTACCAGCCTGGAAAGGCTCAGCCTGGGAAACACCTTAAGTACCAAGTTTCTGCCCAGAAAGATGATGATAACCAGTTTCTGCCCAGAGAGATAATTATTTCAGCCCAGGCAGGGAGGAAATAAAAGGCAGATTTTGACTTTGTTGATTACTCTTTTCCCTTTTTTATAGGGAGGTAAAGAAATGTAATGTAATTAGGGCATTTGATTCCCAAGTTTTCTTTGGTCTGAACCATGGAATTGTCCTATATTCTCTAAATTCTAGATAAGAAAATGAGATGTGCTTCACAGTGTGAAATAATCCTGCTCTGTCCTGAAAGAAGAGGGATAGTTCTGAATGCCAACAATTACCTCACAGACATAAACTGTCAGATTGAATTGCTCAAGTTTAAATCTGTCACTTTTTTTCTGGGAAGCATTACACGAATTTTATCCTAAATTTTAAAGCTAATTTCTTTTCAGTCAGCACCAAGATTGAGTTACCTAGAATGCTATTGTACTCATAAAGAATGTAGATGGATATATCTGTAGGAAAGGCTAGGGAAGGATCACAAATGAAGGATGTTGCTACACTGTGGTATAGTCCAAGATAGGCCAAGTGCAAAAAAGAACAGTTGCAAGTCTTTCCTTATTACCTTGTCTATTACTGACCTGTTACCACTCTAATTTAAAGTCCTTATGTACTTTTGTTAAAAGCTAAGAAATGTATTCTTACTAAAATCAACATCTTAAAATTGTCCTACACAAAGATTTATTTGGTAGTGATGTATAGGAGGACTCATGTAGTGAGTTGTTTGCTCTCTAGTAGGTGAGGAGTTCTGGAAAGCAAATGGGCACTTCCTCAGCTTTGACATTCCCAAGAAGCATTTTGCCATTTATGAGATGGTCCATTGGTCCTGCCCAGGTGCATTGAGGACAAAGGCTTGCCCTTGGTGCAAGCTTCTTCATTAGCCATCCTGCCAAATTTGGCTTTCCAGCAAGTCTTGTTTCTCCAATGGTATTTCAAAGCTTTGCCTGTGGAGAGGAGAGCAGAAGAGGCCACCAAGTTAGCAAGAGTCTTCACAGATATGATTTTTGATCAGCTTGGACAGTTGGGAGTGGAATTGGGGAATGCAAATTGTGATAGAGATTGTGTCTGGGCAAATTCTGATGAGTAGTTTTGCAAAGGAATTAAACACTGGAGGATCCCATCTGGTGAAACTGAGAGGGGGTAGATCATGTGGGGTTTGTGGGATGGATCTTGGGAGCCATCTTGAACATCTTTGAAGGAAAGGCTTGGAGTAGGGGGAAATCCTCTGAGAGAGCACAGCTGGGTAGAATCTGTGGTGTGGGGAAGGAGTTGTCTAGTGATGTTGTCTAATGAAGCTACCTCAGAGAGAAATCAAAGAGACTGCCTCAGGTGGACAAGTATTGGTAAGAAAACAATCCCATGGATCAAGTCTGAGGAAAAATGAGCAGATAATGGAAGCAGTCAGTCCACCAGCAGGAAAGTAGGTCGTATCCATTTCTGAAAAAAAGTCTTTCTTTTGTGTGGGGTTAAACCTCTGGACTGATTTCAAAACATGGTTTAGAGTTTGATCTAAATAGAGGCAGGAGTTACTGCTGTCTATATACTTTGTGCTGCAAGGCCCTACATTTTAATGCAATGCTGGTTTAAGTGAGGGGAGGCTGGGAGTTGTGGGGCCCTGGATGTATCTCACCAAGAGGACACCTTCTCAGAACACAGGACTAGATATTGTGGTAAGAAAGCAACTCCATTGACAGAGAAAGCTGTAAAATATACTTAAAACTCCAAGGTATTGAAAAAGGTGGCAGCATAAGTGAAGAAAGCAGGATAAAATTAGAGTTTAAGAAAAATGGCAACCTACAGGTATAAAATAGAATCTTTAACCACAAGCCCCCCCAAAAAAGGCAGGCTAGCAATCAAAGTAAAATGATGAAATAAAAGAAGTAGAGTTTATGAAAAATGTGTAAGGACTATGGGGAACAGAAGGAATTCCATACAGGAAATATAATAAGTGTGAAGAATTATCATTGTTTAATCACTTCATCTGATGCCCACTGGAAAAAGGAGGACCATAATTGTTAGACACATTATCCACATTGGTTAGTAGTATTAAATTCGGGGAAATGGAGTCACATTTCCCCGAATTTAATACTACTTTAAATTCTTACATTTACATCATATATTTTTCAAGTTTGACCACTATAATTTGTTATTTATGGTGCTGTCTCAGACATGGTATTTTGCTTATTATTGGTGAGAAAAACAGTAGTCAGAAAGATAAAGCTTCATTACAGTGAAATGTTAAATGATTGTAATGTAGGAAGGCCAATAGTCTTTCAACACTGACATATAACAGGGAGGTTAACAGTGGTTGATGAGCAGCTTGTTCAAAATTATTTTATAGAGGTTCTCATATCATAAACAACTTTTAAAATCTTGCTTATGCTTACACTCTTTGTCCTAAGAATTGCCCTGAGAGCTATACCCTGAGCCTACTTTGGAATTCCAATAGTCTATGTTGTGAAGATGGCCCAGGTACCCAGCCAGGGGGTTCTGAGGGTCTGAAAGCGGCCCTTCCCTAGCCAGCAGGGTGGGAGGAGGAGAAGTAAACAGCTACAGGTCAGCCTTGGCATCAGGCAAGGAAGATCTCTTTCATATGATAATATTTTCCTGAGGTTGTTCCAGTACATGGCCAGGTGAAGAATATGATGATAACCTGTTTTGTGTCATTGTCATGATATTTAAGCCCCATTCTGAAATACCAAAGGTTATAAGAATTTATACACTGTATAAAATGAGCTGAGGTAGTAAGTACAAAATGAAACCTGACACATTTCAGGAGAAACCTGAATATTCAAATCCTGCAAGTTATATAGTCCCTACCAAACTACATATTGTTCTCTAATCCCCTTCCTTTTTTGAGAATTACTCCAAACCCACCAAGATCAGGCCATATCAGTGCTGTATCTTATTTCAAACTTTTCACAGTAACTGTTTCCCTAGTTTAAGAGTAGTTGTACATGCATCCCTCATGTGGGTTTTTTTTGTTGGCTGAAGAGTGTTCTTGGTGCTCTGACTTCCTTCCCTTGACTCTTCCCGTCTCTGTGTGTGTGATTGCAGGTCCATGGTCACAGACCATTCAGGATGCTGGTGTGAATGAGCAGTGCAGCAACATCCTCAACAACAAGCGGTTTATGCTGGACATGTTGTATGCGCATAACAAAAAGCCCAAAGATGAAGAGGAGAAGGAGCTGGAGGCGAAGGAGGAAAAGAAGGAGACGGAGGAAAGTGAGGAGTCACTCACTAGCCTAGCCAGCAGGATCTCTATTCTTCAGGCCACAAAGCAGGCCAAAGATGAAAGTGTCAAAAAGATGGAGATTGGAAATCTGGACAACCAAGGCAGTGTGAAAGCCTTTGCAGAAAAATTTAACAGTGGTGAGCTGGCTAAGGGGACAGCAGTGCCTGAAGATGAAATCAGTGAACAGGTCCCCGAGAAAACACCAGCACAGCCAAAGAAGGAATCTGATTACATCTGGGATCAGCTCATGGCTAATCCTCGAGAACTTAAAATCAAGGACATGGATTTTACAGACTTGGGGGAGGAGGATGATGTAGATGTGTTGGACATGGATATGGGTCCTGGGGACTCCCTTGCTCCCCCTCCTCCACCTCCACCTTCTTTTCTGGGTTTGCCTCCTCCACCACCTCCCCCCTTGTTTGGATGTCCGCCTCCACCACCGCCCTCTGGTAATTTATTGGCTCCTCCTCCACTGTTCAGCACTCCTCAGGGTTTAGGGTCACCCCAGGTTTCTCGGGGTCAGCCAGCATTTATAAAGAAGAAGAAAACCATCCGTCTGTTTTGGAATGAGGTACGGCCGTTTGAGTGGCAGTGTAAAAACAACAAACGCTGCAGAGAATTCCTGTGGTCGAAACTGGAACCCATTAAGGTAGACACTTCCAAACTGGAGCATCTCTTTGAGTCTAAATCCAAAGAACTGCCTGTCACAAAGGTACAGCTTGTATTCAGTTTGCTATTTTTCTGCTATTGTATTGGTATTCATTCTGAATTAGATCTAGGTGATTTATGTTGTTTATATCAAACCAGTGGAAATTACTGGATGTGATTCTAGCTTAGCCTATGACAGAAGATATTCCATGGCCTGACACTAGAGATGAGCCTAGGGTGGTTATGTGCCAAGTTGCCCTCCTGTCTCAGGTCTGCCAGTTGTGGGATATCACTCCAGGTGGCGAACAGCAACAAATTTTACATTAGATTGTCCATAGCTGAGTGCCAGACGAGATACTGGAATCTGAAATATTTTCTGTTGCATTCATAAAAAGGTCACAGCATGGTGATTCATATCTGTGTATTTGACAGTTCTTCACTTGGTAATATTTTCCTAATCATTATGTGGAAAGGTTGGAATATCAGACTGGATCTGCTGCAAAGAGTCTACACATGTGCTTTGTTCTGAAGGATGGAATTATCAGCTGGACCATGTTTACAGCTGAACTCTGCAGGGGTGTTGGGTTTTTGTTTTATACTGGTGAACAGGCCTATTTAAAATCTTTAATTTATACAATGTGGAAATTTTAGGATAGAAGCTGGCACAGGAAATACCTCCACAGCTAGGATTCCCTCTTCCTTAGTATTGTTATAAAATAAACTCACAAAGGCTCATGACACGGCTGTTTAACATTGGAATCAACAGTAAAAGGAACCTTTTTATAGTTACACTTAAGAGGAACTTGAAATAGCGTTAAAAAAGTTATTAGCCTGAACATTTGTTTTTCGTGGCTACATAAACTCTTTTTCTTCTAAGCAGCATAATTGGTATCAGGGAAACAATTTTTTTTCCAGTTAAAATGATAGTAAAAAATGTCCATCTCTCTTAAAATAAATGAATGGCTTGTGTGTTTTCTCTGTATGCCTATATGTGTTATAGTAATATAAAAACAGTCAGCACCTTGAATATTTTACTTCTCTTTAGCTAGAGAAAATTGTTACACCTATTATGTGTTATAGATATTGTTGTTTGCTCCTATTCTGGGGAATCTGGATGTCTCACAGTAAGGGTTTTCTGTGTCATTTGCCCAGTTTATTAAGTCAAATTTTTCTAATAGTCATTCTTGATCATCTTGACAAAGTGGAAACATTGGAATTTCTATAATCAAGCTCCCAAGTACCTAGCATGCAACAGGTACATAAAGAGATGGCTCATGTGGTTCCTGCCATCACTGCTCTTAGGTGAATTTCTTTGTAACACAGATGCACGCAAATCTGAAACGTGTGGTGTAGCACCTTTAAAAACACATTCAGCTGATTGTTCATCTGGCCAATGCTGAGATTAATTTCTCTCCCTGATTCCTTTTCTGCCGAGGAAGGAATGCTGGTGACACCGTGGCGTGCTACTCCTCATCTCTCTCCCCGTAAATACAAATCTGACACAGATGGTTCATAGATGGAAGGAATGAGAGCATTTTCTTAGATCCATAAAATATTTAATTCCTTGAATTGAATGTGGAATGATAACATATTTGCCATTTCCAAAATTTAGCTTTGTGCTAAGTGCCAGCATTGTAATGGAGTACTCTGGCTGATTCCTAATTTTTTGTTCTCACATGAAATTTTGATAAAATTTTAAGTTGTTGGAGTTATGACTTGTTTACTTTTCCAGTCAATCATCGTGCATGTTCCCAAACTACCCTTGGCCATTTTCCCTCCCTCACACTTGCTTCTCAAACCTGCCTGATGCTTTGGCAGAGCTTTTGGCTTCTGGCTGGAAGATGAGTGAGCAGGTTTCTTTGAAATTAGTGCAAGTCTGAGGAATGATTTAGGTGCTTTCCCCTTGGCTACCAATAACTGCTCTCTGCATGAGACATTGTACTTTTGGCTCTCTTTCCACCCTGTCCCATAACACAGACATAGAAGTCTCATTGTCTCATTGCAGAAAAGACAATGGGGACTTAGGAGTACCTTAGTAGAGCTCTGTTCAGGCTTTTGAAAATCCTGCCCGGTTTTCGTGAACACCAGCAAATCTTCCAGAGCAGGAGATGGTCCTTAGATCAAGTGAGAGTGGGAATAATTAGGCAGACCACCGAATCCGTAAAAGACTTGAGGTTTGGTACAAAGATTACACTCAAATTAGGATAGCTCTCGATTTTTCCAGACTGCTTGGTTTATTTCCAGAGAGCACATTCCCCGTTGTGTCTAGTTTCTCCTGTCCAATGGCCGCGATCCAAAACAGGTTTATGCTATAATATCGTAAAGTCTGACTCACAGCTCAGTTGGTTCAGCTGAAAAAAGAGAGTGCAGAGCAACAAATCAGAAGTCAAATCTCTAGATTTCATTTTAAGAGGTGGAAGTAGGTGCATAGAAAAGGAACAGCCCAGAAGGATGAGAGGAAAAGCAAAGTCAGGGTGCATAAAGGGGGGCCTTGGCTCTCTCTTGTGCTTATGCTCTCTCATACAGCTGTAACCAATTTTACTCCAGTTTCTAATCCTTCACTGTGATTTCCACAACACACAGCTATAAACAGCTACTTCCTGGCTCATGAGAAGTTTTTCATTAAACACAATAGACTGTAATAAAATAAAGTGGATTGAAAATTGTAGGATATAATACAGGATTTTGGGGGCTGGGACTGGTGAGAGGAGATTCTTGATTTTAGGAAAACTTGCCACACTGAGAAACTTGCACATTTATTATTTAGTGGAGTACCTTTAGTTGCAGATGGTTTATTTTTTTAGACTAGAGCACCCTGCATTATATTTGCCAATAGAAGGAGTGATCAGGTATCCCCTCCAAACCAGTGTAGTATTTCCTTCCTTCTCACTCCACTGAACAAAGCAGATATTTTGGCAAAGTACTTCAAAGTGTTTACTTTTCTGTGAAGAGAAGTGAAAACATGCAGACCGTCCTCAATCAAATGCTGTTGTTCAGCCCTTTTACCATCCACTTGGTTTTGCATGAAAGTATTATTTTGCTGATTCATATATACCCTGTGGGATATAGTGATCCATCATGTGCCCACAGACATAAAAATTAGTAGGAGAGAAAAAGGAAGGAATCTGTTTTCATGTGCACATGCTTAGACATATTCCTTTTGAAAGGATTTGTTGCAATTTCAGTGAATGCCAAGACAACTCATAAATGTGGACCAGAATTTCTAAAAAAGATTGCATACAGATATCCTGGAAAAAGTCAGTGGCAGCTGAGCGATTCCATTTTACATCTCTTGTATTAAATCCTTGATAATTGAGATAGAAATAAAATACTTTTTTTAAAAAAAATTTAAAAAGCCATCTCACTATTAAGGTAGATTTTTGTGCACTACTTTTGCAGTAGGGCAAAATGCAGACTTTTACAACTTTAAAGGCAGAAGATATTTCTAAATTGATACTCATAATATAATTGTTTATTTATATGACCACTTGAAAAGTTGTTGGTTTTTTTTTTCTGCTTCCCATATTAATTAAAACAAAGAGGAATGTTTAAGACTATATTCTCATCAGACTGCAAATCCTTTTCTGTGGGATGGTAATAGGTTTTAAATAATCCATCTGGGCTACCCAGTCTTCAACAGAGGCAAGAGAATGTGGCCAGTTAGGTCTTGTAAAGTGTCTTATAAACACTATAATTGTTAATACATTGCAGAAGTGTTTGTTTTCTAAAGATTATACTAGCTGGTATGTTTGTATTTTATAATTACTTTGCAATTACACATAATAATATAGTATATATAATATTCAGAAGTTCAGGGATTACACTTCATACTGACACATTAAAATATAAAATCAAGTGCACTAGTTCACTGTTCCCTCAAGCATTTTAACTCACTCTCTGTTAATGAATTTATAAAGCATAGATTGAAGTCACTAAATATTGTTGTAGAAATTGGTAATTGTAGCTTATTTTAACAGTCAGACTTCAGAATTGCACTTCCACCTGTGCAATTTCACTGCAGACAAAAAGAAATTCTTTTCCTAGTGGTAAGGTAGTAAAGTTCATAGTAGTAAAATCTTTCTCTTTTCTTCATCCTTTTATTTATTTGGAAAAGATTTCTTTGAAACTCAGACATCATCCCAAGAATGGATTTAAAATCTCTTCAGCCCCTGTTTTTGAGAAGGGTTACCACCCCAACATTTTATATCCCATATGCAGTTCTAGCTGTGGAAAATACCTGCATGCACTCATGCCCTGTGCAGCTGATGTGTCTTCCATAACTCATGGCTCGGGAGTGTGTGCACTGTAGGGATCACAGTGATCCCGGCTGTGAGCGTCCTGCGTCCCCCAAATGAATATGTCTGTCCTGTCAGACTTGGGAGCCCTAAAGACAGAGCTGAAGATTTGAGGCTTTCTTACCCATACCACATGTGGGAAGCCTAAATTTAACTCCTTTTCTCTGGCTTTTTCCCTTCTGCATAAATTCTTTGGAGCTGTGTAATTCTGTGCTCCAAAGGACAAGGTAAAAAGTGGTGGTTTTAAAAAGGCTTAGTGCAATACAAACTCAAGAGGAGGCAGTCTCTGGTGAACCCTCTTTGGTCTTAATGTGGTCTTGGCCACTAACTGTGGTCCTGAGAATGTGATTAGTGGCTTGGGAAGTAAAAGTTACTGCATTAAAGGAGGAGCTGCATCTCAGATCTTTCAGGTAGTTCCCCAAGAAAAAGAGGAGTCTATTATTTAAAAAAGGAAAAATTCCGGAAGGCTTTGGGGATACTTTTAAGCTGTTAAGAAGAGATCAGTTCTGACAGAACTGATAGAAAAACATTGAAAACAAATGTTATCTTTGCTTTTCTAAAATTTATTCTGTTTACTGCAAAATTGTTATTTCTTTTTAAGTTTAAAAAAAACAACCCTCTTATTACTTTCTCAGATCATATACATGTGGTATCCCCTAATTCCTGTAAACAGCACCTGCCTTGAGTCCCATGTGTGTGCAAAAGTTGCACACCTACCACGTTAGTTGTTCTGGTATGATGAAAGGACTGTGGTATCATACAGGTGCTTGGCAGGCTGCAGGAACCAGTGGGCAAACCTCTTCCTGTGTGAGTATGGTTTTGGGCTGTGCCAGAAAAAGGTATCTTTTAATGATACAGCTGTATTCCCCATTATGGGCTGTCCACAGCTGGAGATGCTTTGATGAAATCGTATTTGCTAACTTCCAATTCAGAAACAGCATGTAGGCCTAGCAGTGGGGTATTTTGTGTCTCAGTGGCTGTGGTGCAGACCCAAAGAAAGCAAATGTCAAAGCTCAGTAGTCTAAAAAACAATCCTGAGCACAGAGTGAGACTGGAGCAGTAAGTCTCCTCTTGGGCTTTTCCCAAATCCACAAGAGATCAAAGACTGATAACATCAGCATGCAGGACTTCTTCCTACACTGCTGTGCTTGAAGGCATTCCTCAGCCCATCTCTGATAGGGAAAAGGTAGAAGAACCACAGATAATATGTTTACAATGTTCACATCTATGCAGAGGGAGGAAGAAAACCTGAGTATGAGGAGCAGAGTCCTCTCACCTTTCAGCTACCCAGCGTGACACACGTTGTTACCAAAGAGACACCTTCTAGCATGGGATGATGAGAGAGAGAAAGAGAGACATGCTGAGGTGTAAAACCAAAGAGCACATTCAACACTACATTATGCCATATAAGTGGATTTTGAGTCACCTTGCATAGTTGGTTCACATTTTGCCACTATGAGGGATAGGGAGAAAGATAAAAAAATTCCTTGGATCTACTCTAGAACAGAATTTAAAGTATATGTTGCCAGTCCTTTGTGATTTTATTATTTTTTGTACTGGAGGTAAGATCCAAGGATATGGGTAGTCTCAAATACAACTTTTTAAGAACCACAAGAGTTGAAATGTTTCTGCATCTATGAAGGACTTGGCAGACATATCATGAGCAGCAAGGTCCTAGAACTTTTCCCTGGCAGCCGAAGGTTATAAAACCAAGCCAGTGCCTCCAGAGAGGCACCTACAGCTCCTTTGCCAGTGTCCGAGGTGGATTTATAGCACAGGAGAATGCTAGCAGGCACGTGGGAACTACTCTGTTTCCCAGCCAGACACACAAGTGAGAGAGGGTCCAGATTGGTGCATCCAACAGGGAATTGAGCCCTGGAGCCCCTTGGCTGCCCAGCTGCTGCCCAGCAGGCCTGTGCTGGCCAGTCCTCTTGCATAGCAGAGCTCTGGGCTGGCAGAGGCAGTTTCAGGTATTTTTCAGACTGGCTCCTGCCCCAAACTGCCCTTTTGAGGACTCTGTCAGGCTAGCTCTGCTTAACACAGCAGTGTTCAGATCTCTGATTGAATCCTGGCAGCTCATGTTGATAGGATAAGGATGTGCTACAAGAATTCAGCTTGTTTTGATGCCTAAAAATAAATTAGGTTTACACTCAGTGTCAGCTTTCTTGAGTGGGGGAAGTCATTAGTGAAAGGAGTGACTTTTCCTTTATAAAACAGATCTGAGGAATAATGACCTTGTTCTATTCTTTACCAAGAAAACTGCTGCAGATGGGAAGCGACAGGAGATCATTGTTTTGGACTCAAAGCGGAGCAACGCCATTAATATTGGCTTGACTGTGCTGCCCCCTCCCCGCACCATCAAGACTGCTATTTTGAACTTCGATGAATATGCCTTAAACAAGGAAGGAATAGAGGTAAGAAAGAACAGTCAATGTCTTCAACTCTGCATCTTCAATACTTTTTTTCCTCATGTTGCATATGGTACAGGCCAGACTGGCCATGGAAGAAGGAGAAGGGGGTGTCTTATGTCATGTCTGAGTGTTGAAATATGGGAAACCAGTGTAGTGGACTCAGAAGCAGGAAGTATCATGACCACTGAGGCATCCTCAGTGATCATGGATTATCTGCTTTGTTTGAGTAGCAATGGTGTTAATTCCTGTCAGGTTTTTCAGAGTATTATCTGAAGCTTGACTGAAATATTGTGAGCAGCAAAACCAGGCAGTGAGTTACTAGGGCTGATGCAACTGGTACAGGGTTTAATAAATTTTATGCCCAGCTAAGCTGTTGGAGTCATTCTAGATTGTATATCTAATGGAAAACAAATACAGCGACTAGTTCTGCCCAGAATAGCATTTCTGTGTTACTGTTGTTTGAAGAAAAGCAGTTGGTATAAAGATTACAGATGATGTAATTTTTACCACTACATGTTTGACTTTGCAGATATTCTTACCAAGATCCAAGATGAGCTCTGTTTATTATTTTTTTTATCAAAACATTTTTCTTCTGTGAAGTGTAAAAGAAGCCTGTGGCTCCACTGTTTTTTTCATTATGGTCATATTCATTTCAATTTTTTTTTTTCAGTAAGCCTGTATCATCTAGTAAGAGTAATCTGCACAGCTACAAATCTCAGTCAGTGGCTCTCAGAAATCAAATATTAATTCACAGTCACCTTTTAGTGGTTTGGCACTGTGTTTCATTATTTCCCCCTTTCCACCTCCACCTTGCTGACTACAAAAGAAAATGAGAAAAGCTTCCTGGAATGAAAATGGTATCACCAACAGTTGCATGCAAAAGAAATGCTTAAGGCAAAAGATCCTTCTAGTTAGAAGCCAGGGCCTGATTCGTCCCTACTAGAACATAATTGCTTCCCCAAGCTATATTAGTTTTTGCTGTATGCATATTTTACTCATATTATGAAGGTGACAGATCACTCTAACGCCAGTAATTATTTCATGACCCAGCCCATGTACCCACCACTGCAGTCTGCAGTACTAAGCTTTAAAATGTTGGAGAGAAGTACCCCTCCAGCCAAGCCCAATTCACAGATCTCAGTGCTGTAGGCAGTTTCCATGCAAAGTCCAACATAAAATGGCTGACAAAGGAGGACAAGTCTTCATTAACTTCTGGGTATCATCTCCTTAGAATTGTGTCCTTCTCTGGCTTCAGGTGCTCTGCACAGCCCATCCTTTCTGCTGCCAACATTTGTCTCTGGTCTGCCCATCTGCCAACCACCTGTTGTGGTGTCCACAGCTGTGCTTTTTACCACCACACCCTCCCTTGGGTGGCCTTTCCATTAGCTGCCAGGAACCCATAATTTAATTTAAAATATATATGAAGGTGGATTTCAATTTGAAGAATTCAAGAAAACAGGAAATTGTACACTATTAATATACTTGCCCAGTGCTCAAGGAAAGGTCTCTGAGGTCGGTCCCCACAGCTTGAAGCTAGGGATGTGAGTAATCCTCATGTGATCATTCAGATATTTGAAATCAAGAAAAAGGGTGAGTGCAGCAGAGCCCAGATACTCTGCACTTTGAGGATTGAAGTCTTGATTGGTTGGAAAGGATTATGTCCATGGAGAAAAGTGCTTTTTGTCCCTCAGTTATATATATTTATTTACTTCCTATCAAGTAAAACCCTACACTGAATTCAAATTTCCTTTTCAATCCCAAATTACATATTTTTCTTACAGCATGTTACAGAGTCAGACCTTTATAGTGATAGAGAGGTCTAGATTAAGCTACACAGAATTGGCCAGGTAGCACACAGGTTGGTACAAAAATGCATGTTTGTGAGCCCCACTGTTTTCATCAGATCTCTGCCCCAGTTTTCCATACTGCTCCTTTGGTCTACAATGTAGGCAAGCTTTGCTTCCTGTGTCTCTTCTCTTTATCTGTCTGTTCATTTGCTTTAGCCCTTAACTTAGCACAGAGGGAAGAGAGGTTGTTGTTTCAGTCTGGATTTGTAGAGGTTTTCTGGTTCATATCTATCTAAACATCAGGAAATAATTCGTAGTCACTTTGAATGAATCAGTAATAGTGTAAGAATCAGCTTCATGTACTAAAAAGCCCACAGATTGTACAGCAATTTGCTATATAATGCAATTGATAGCTTTTCTATGGGTTGATTGAGGCAGGACTGGTATGGAAAAAAATGCAATTTGCTTAATAAAAAAATTGTACCACAGTGGATACTCTAAAGCCTTTCTGCACAATAATTGTGCAGATCTAGAAGAGATGTCACATCCAGTAAGCAGAAGAGAGATGTAAAGAGAACAGGAAAATAGATATGTGCAGTGGCAACATAACCTTCACTGCTAATATTTCAGAGAAGCTACAATTTGGGATCATCTTCAGCTTTTGTCAGATCCAAGAAAGGGCAGAGCACCTACAGTGTAAAAAGTCACCTTTGCCTTGGCAGTGAGCTCTGTACTGTGTCCTTTGCTGAGGAGCATTGTCACTGTCATGTGAGTGTGTGGGTGCCTTTAGTTCTGCACCTTGGTGGATTAAATGGTGCCTTAAAAGTGACCTTAAGGATTCCTTTAAGGACAGTGGACTGAAGCAGTGCTGGCAGTAGTGCTAGCAACAAGCAGGGATGCAGTGGGCTGCAGGCCCAGGTTCATGATAGCCCTGTTCATCATCTACTCAGCCCATAGGTAGAGCACTGGGTCCAGTAGAGCCTCCACTGCTGCCCTACATCTGCTGAATGATGCTTTGCTTTTGACATTGAATTCTTGTTAGTAATCCATACTTTACTTTTTAACTTTAAATATGTAACTAAGTGGAAAAAATACTCCACTTATTTTAAAGCCCTCTGTTCCTAAGCATGTTGCATATTTTTTGGTCTTAAAGCAGTTAGGTATTCCTGAGCTGTGAAAAAAGGCAGAAGGTGGGGCCATGACACTAGAAAGGCAGATGTAGTCCACTTAGTATGCAAAGCAGGCACTGTTTGAAATGTATTTTCAAAGGAATGCACATCATGTGTTTGTGAGCATGAGCCAGTCCAACTAAAAAAAAAAAAATTTTGCCATCTTACATTTGCCAAAGCGTTTGTGTTTTCCTTTCTTTGAAAACTTGGCATTCATTGTGTTCAAACAACCTGGAGCTCACTGCTGAATAAAGAACTGCCTCCTTACAATGGATGAGGTCTTGCTGTGAGTTAAGCAAAAGAGGCAAGCTTAAAATCCTGGCACCTAACTTATATGTATCAGAGGCAACTGCAAGAAGGGAGTCCAATAAACAAGTCCTTGGTGCTTGTCTGTAGAGAAGGAAATGAGTGGATCCCTCTATAAAAGGTTGCTTAGTAAGGAAATGTGGACCAAAATCAAGCAATACCAAAGACTATGGTTAATTCAGCAGATTAAAATTAGGGTAATGCTGTGAGGAAATTAGCATGGTTTGTTTTCTGCTTTACAATATGTCTTTGTGATGCTGCACAATGTTGATTGCATTAGTAGGTATAGCTTTTTAATAAATCTTTGAAATGAAAAAAAAAATCTCTCTGGGTGCTGCACCCTCCATACCCAGGTGTGCTACACCCTGCCTACCCATAATAAGTAGCTTGAAGTATTGGTGTCTGGAATGGCTAGATTGCCCTGAGATGTAAAAAGGGGTAAGAAGTGAGAACTTGATGTTAAAAAGCCAGATGGTGATATGTATAGAGAGAAATCAAAATTTGATTTTTGTAAACAAGTAAGGTATTTACATTTTTATTCTGATCATTGACACGGTACATCAACATTTGCAGTTTCCGATTTGTTTGTCTAATGCTTTGTAAGACTGTGATGTTTCAAACCATGCTAGCTTATGTGACCTGAAAGAACATCTTTTTTCACAACTCTAGACAGAAGAGAGAATGGCCTCAGTGGTGCCTTGCTGACCCACAGTCAGCATATCACAGCCCTAATATGTTTCAGACTGTATTAAAAAAAAAAGCCACACTTTTTCTCCTTGCAGCAAACAAAAACATAATCTGCAGTTCCTGTGACCAGCAATGACATGTTCATGTATTTCTGTAGAGAGCTGAGGAAGAGGACTGGTCTGAGGTGTCAGATCCTGGTTTACAGGGATGGTCATCAGCATTTTAGATGTAATTCTTTCTCAGAATTGGATCATTTTTGGAAGAGTTGTAATAAAATTAGTGCAGGCAGCTTCCCTTACAGTGAAGTTCTGACCTTCATATGCTGTTACATTTCTTAGAGTTTCAGCAGGTAGTGCGAACCAGCAATGGGTCTTGTTAACAGCAGCATGGGAAGCTGAAATGTGAGACTGCCTTTCAGGAGCTGGATTGTCTTCTGAGGCCTGTCAAATATCTGATGAGATACCCACTAACATGTACTTGGTGATGCAGCTTACGTATTTGTGGTCCTCAAGCCACAGAAAGCTTTGGGCACAACAACAACAACAAGCAGATATTTGAGTTACTGTTTTCTTTGGCTGTTTTTCACCTGGTAAGATCAGGTGAAACCAAACACCAAAGATGAGACACCCCTGCAACCTCATCATCACTGAGAAGCCCCAGCATCTCATGAAAGAGAAAACTTAAGCACCTAATTTCCTCAGAGGCACTGGGCTATTCACCATCACTGCTTAGGTGCTTCCTTGCATCCCACACTGAGGTCCATCACCCTCAGCCATATGTTGGTTTTGTAAGTCCTCCCTCTTAGGAACTTTTGGAGATTATACCTCACGATGGCAGAGTCCAGGAAATAAGCAGTTTGATCCCTTTGCTGGAAGTTCAAGCAGGTGGCTGAGTCTGGCAGCAGAATAATTGGGGTCCATTATCTCATGGGAAAATTGCTTATTTTCCTAAATTATTTGCACACACGTTTTCCTCAAAACATAAGGCTCTGGCCCAAACAGTTTTGTGAGAATGCATGAAGGTGAAATACATGTGTCACATGTACTAGAGAATATGAGCATAGGGTTTATTGATAAGCAGTTCTCCTTTCATTGACCTGAAGGCTGCTGACACCACCTCAATTACAAGAAAAGACTGAGGGAGCTGGGCCTGTCCAGCCTGGGGAAAAGCAAACTCAGAGTATTTTAAGTATCTGAAGGGAGGGTCAAGAGGATGCATCCAGGCTGTTCTCTGTAGTTCCCAGCAACAGTACAAGAGCAGTGGGAAAAAACTGATGCACAGGAAGTTCCACCTGAATGTGAGGAAGAATTTCTTCACTGTGCAGGTGACTGAGCACTGGAACGAGGTGCCCAGTGGAGTCTCCCTCACTGAAGATATTCATAAACCGTCTGGTTGCAATCCTGTGCCATGTGCTCTGGGATGGCCCTGCTTGAGCAGGGAGCTTGGATCAGTAGTCCCACTGTGGTCCCTTCCAACATAACCCACTCTGGGATTCTGTGTACTGGGAAGAGTAATATGAACTAATGATTGGACTCTAAGTTGTTTGTGATTTAATGGTCACATCAGGTGCCAGTAACCTGTTGCCCTGCTGTGATTTTATGCTACTTTTAATATTAGGTTTTTTTTTTTTCAAAAAATAATAGAAATAAAAACTAAAATAATAAAAAAGTGGCAGATGGTGTACTCATCAGTTTCCAGCACCAAACAAATGGCTCAAATTAGTCACAGAGTGGGAATCAAGAAGAGGAGCATTTCTCTACTTGCTCAGGGGCACACCAAGGATGATGACCAGCAGGATCAGAATCATTTGCCCAAACAGGTTCAGGAGTGCTGGTGTAGGTCATTGTTATGGGGGCACTTGCACCCTGGATGGTGTGAGACCTGCCAGCAGCTCTGGCCCCACCAAGGCAGGGCTTTCAGCAGCAGGGCTGATCCTCAGCAGCTGGCACCACAAGCACAGCCTCTTTTGTTTGGCATCCCCTGTTTCACAGAGTATGGTATGCAGCACAGCAGTCTTGCAGAACTTGGACTAGAATTCTTTTTGTCAGCTCCATCTATCTTGTGATGTTTATATAAAGCTTAAGGAGGAGGAGAGTCCCTTTGGAAATAAAGCTTACTGTTTCTTTGCTCTTTTTAAAATGCCCCAAAGCAGTGTAAAATCTGGAGTGAAGGCATTACCCCACCACAAAATACTTGTGGGATCCCTGAGCAGCTGCCAAAATCCTAGTTATTTGTAGGAGGCAGTTGAGAGTACTGCTGCAGTGTTAGCCTTCAAAAATGCATCAGAAGCATTTTTACACCCATCACATGGCTACTGCTAAACTCTCCATGTATGGATGTCCAATTTGATCCTATTTGCAAGCTGCCCTGTCTCAGCTGAGGGTGTGTCTTCCTCTTATGGAAAAGAGGAGTAGGCACTAAGATGCCTGACTCCTTCAAGGGACACTGCAAAGCACCTTTCTTTATGAGTTTCAGGCTCAGTCTGGGGTTTTTTTCAGACTTTTTTACGTGAGTATTGATTCAGCACTGAGATCATAAAGCAGCTAATTAGAAATCTAGTTTTACGTTAAGTATGACCCAAGTTACAGATTTTAGCATGTCTAGGTGGATGGATGGATGGATGGATGGATGGATGGATGGATGGATGGATGGATGGATGGATGGATGGATGGATGGATGGATGGATGGATGGATGGATGGATGGCACATCTCAAAATCAATACACAAATGCTGTCATTTGAAACACGTGTACATCAGAATATTTTCCAAGCAGTCCTTTCAGGCTAAGGAAAAGCATCAGAGTGTATTGAGGGATTTTCCTCCTCTTTATTTTTTTTTTTTTCCTTAAGCTATTAATTTATTTAGGTGGAATCTTGAGTGTCCAAGCAAGGAGGCTTTTTTTTGTTTTTGTCATTGTTTATAACAAAGAGCAAGAGAGAGAGGCAACATTAACAGAAAAAAATGCTTCTTTTTAAATGTTTATGGAAGTCAACAGAAGAAAGTGGACAGCAATAGAAATGCTGTGGCTGAAATTAAATAAGTCCCATTTCAACAAATGGAACCTTATTTGCCTGCTTAACTTTTGTTCTTCGCCTGATTGACCAGGAGAAGTCCCTTGCTTTCTATCCACACTTAGCTCCAGTGCTGTACAAGCAGCCAGGGAAACTTTCAGAACTAGAAGGGGTCAGTTGTGCTGCTTTGATGAATTGGCTATGTCCAGTGCTGGAACAAGGCTGTAGTTTGGATTGGCAGGTCTGATAGCTCCTTGGCTGTATTTTTATTATTCTCTCCTCCCCTTCAAAACAGCCTCTATCATTATAGACGGCTACAGCAAAAACATGTCATTCCTGAGATGAATAAACATAAGTTGTGTTAGAAATCTGCTTTGCTTTAAGGAGGCATTGATCAGTACGGTAGAGACCTCAACTTATCTGATGTCTTTATGTTTTGATTTTCTTTTTTATTTTGAAGTGCATTTATTGTGTTAAAAACTGATTAAGAAGCAATACCTTAGAGAGCAATAATTTCAGAAGGAAAGCTGACACATTTAAGCAAGCCTGTAAAATTCATGACTTTAAGGGAAAATTTAAATTTTTTGTACCACACTGACAGCAGAAACTGAAAATACTGAGATCCGTTTTCAAGTAAAAAGAAAAAAAGGCCATATGTTATGCAATGCATAATTCAGCTTTAAATTCAATGTGTGTTCCTTTGGAAGTTGTCAGTTAGGGTGAAATCTTTAAGAGTGACCTAGTAAGCTGTAATTTGCCCAAATTTATAATAGTTTCCGTGTTCCAAAAGAAAAACAAAACAGACTAAACAAAAGTAAGAAATTATGGGGACAGCAAGGGACGGGAGTCTTCAAGTTATTCCTGTATACTTAAAATTGTGCTAGAAGATTTGTAGATATTCGGACTGAAAGGGACCTTAAAGTCTAGTCTGACTTGCTGTAAATCATAGGCCACAAAACTGTTCTCCTTCTACCCTTACTTCCTCATGTAATTTACAAAAAGATATTAAGTTCTGACTTAAACATATGAAAGTCGATGAGATCAGTCCTAACCAATTTCCTTTCATGCCCTTCAGTGTTTCATCCCATGATTAGCCACTTACTATCTACTGAATACAGATTTTAAAAAAATAAAAATTTCAATCCAGATACATTTTTAAGCAAACTGCAGGTGTGTGAGATAGCAGTCCTTGTTTTGTGCAGTGGATTAGTTTTTGGTTGCTGCTGTACTGTCCTAATTTAACAGCCAAGGACTTGAGGACTTCTACTGTGGCTGCTGTTGGGTCACAGAGCAACCAGCCCTCACGCTCCTCTAAGCCCCACCACTGATGTTTGCCTTTTGGCTCCCTGTACAGAAAATCCTGACCATGATCCCCACCGAGGAGGAAAAGCAGAAGATCCAGGAGGCCCAGCTGGCAAATCCCGATGTCCCCCTGGGCAGCGCTGAGCAGTTCCTTCTCACCCTCTCCTCCATCAGCGAACTCTCCGCCAGGCTCCAGCTCTGGGCTTTCAAGATGGACTATGAGATAGTGGAAAAGGTGAGGAAAAGCACAGGGATGGGTGGAGACTCTTCCGAGGCTTTGCTTAATCTTTCCCTGACCTTGGTATTATATGGACATTTTGAGGAAATGGTAAATGGGTCACTTTTGTTTCAGTGGCCAAGCAGGAAACAGCTAAACTGATCCTTCATAATCTCTTCCTTCTATAAAAGAAAATTAGGAGATTATGTCTTCCTTCCTTTAATTAGTCACTAATGATATTGAAACAAAGAAGAGGGCTAAATCTCTGCCACATCTTCTCCAGATGTTGTTTTTCAGGAAATTACTTTAGAGCAATGAGAATTTTTCTTCCATAAAGATTGAGTAAGGACTACCATATTCAGTCTTATATCATGAGAGCATTGATCTTACATCTATTTAAACTAAGGAAAACACCATCCATTAAGGTTTTTTTGTTTATAGCTCTCAAAATTCTAAACAAAAGATAAGACAGTTCAGCTCAGTCACACACAGTTGTTGCCACCTTCTCCATGGCTGGCATTCATTCAAAGAACACTGTTATTGGGGTGTCTGTCAACATGATGAATCATGGGCACAAATTTTTAAAAAGTGGATAAAAATTTGGTGCATAGGTGAGACAGAATGAAACTGTGTAGGGGATTTCAGGTACTTGCTGCCTTTCACAAGGTCTTTCAGGAATCTCTGCACAGGAGCTTCCTTTTTGCTGCACTTGTGGTCCATACACCTGGCATTGCCATTAAAGCAGCTCTCTCCTCTGCATATTTGTTTTGTATCTGCGCACATAGATGTGTATTGAAAAATCAGTATAACTGTGTGATATGGATTCTAAAAAGTGAAACGTGAAAAAAGTTTCACATGCTTGTGAAAATTCCTTACGTTTACGTAGCAATGGTTATTTAATGAGTTGTGCGACAGTGGATTGATTTGCAGGTGATACTGTCAAGATTACTCAACATTTATTTAATTTTCTTAGATGTTAGGATATGCAATCACACAAATACTCAGGATTTTTACTGGAATGTTTTAGTATTAGCCATTTACATTTCTGACTTGTATAGCAAAATACTTGTATCTGGCATGAATACTTTTTTGCCAGTTCATTCTGTTTTGTTTTCATTTTTTTTCACTCTGGTACAGCTATTTATTCTGCTTTGAAGTTACCACAAGGCTAAATTGTACCTTTCATGTAAGCTGAGTTAGCACTACTTACTAATCTCTGCATATACCTAGAATTTCTAGGGTTCTCTCAATCAAAAAGCAACATTTGAAGCACCACTAAAAGCTAAAGAAATTCTGAGTTTACTTTTGCCACAAAGTTAATTTATTGCCAGCTAAAATTCATGTAGAATGCATGCTAGTACAAAATGTCTCAAATACTTAAATTACTCAGAGAAGCAACAGCTGTAGGGAAGACAAAACCAACATTTTTGTCCCTGCCTCAAGGTAGATAGGACTAAGCACAGTACTTACAATAAAATGGTAGAGGAAGTAACATGTGATAAGTGTGATAAAGTATGAGAAGCATGTGATAAGCCTAGCAGAGAAGCATAGATAGGACAGACAGCTTGGGTCTTGGATGAGGACAAAGAAACAGGGTCAGACATCAGGAGTGCAAGGCAGAGTGAGCACCTGGGTGTCTCCAGTTACAAAAGGTTAAGGTCAGAGTTCCAGGTAATCAGTAAATGTACATGTTATTTGGACAGAAATAAGATACTGTGATACTCAGTTTTAAAAAAATGAAGTAATTTGCATTAGTGATTATGATGATAAAAGAGACCCTTGAGCTGCTAACATTCTTCTATTCTTGAAACTATGTTTTTGCAGAAGATCCATCTGCAAAAGGGCAAACACTTCATGAAACATAGGTCCCAGAATCACTTAAGTCCACAGCTTTGCCTTTCTTTTTTTGTCTGGCATTTGCTTGATCTTTTCTTTTTGATTCTTATTTTGTAATAAGGAAAATTCATAGCAGTTCAGAATGCACTCATATTATTTACCAAGTCCCACATACATTTTATGTAAGATATGAATGCTATTATTTCCATGAGGCTGGAAGTTTTAGATGGTCCCTGTTACCACCAGTGTGAAATACCTGAGTTATTGGTAAGACCAGGCTTCTCATACGTGACACTCTTCTGCTAACCTGCCAAGAACAGAGTTCTGCCTAAGTAGCTTTTAGCTTCATCTCTGACAACCTGAAAGAAAAGAATATTAATTGTTCAAGAAATGGGTTAAGTGATACATTGTTTATGTTCATTAAAAGCTTTTCAGGCATAATAAGAGAAATAATCTTTCTTAGCTTGAATTTAATTAACTAAAGCAAGTAGGGGGTACATTTGTAGGGAGCATCCTCAACCTGTGAGGAGCTGAACTGGATGAATAAATATTCACTCTTTGCTCTCTATAGAATATTTAAAATGAAAGAAAAATGAATGAGTGTTAACTTAAATGTTTACCAAAGGTCATTAGCAGAACAATAATTTCCCTCTCCTTTCTTTTGGGATCCTAGTTTAAATGCACAGACAGAAGAGGTTAAAAAATTGCACTGTGTTGCTACTCATTCCTCATATGAAATTACTTATGATGCAGATATTGTCAAATTCTGTTATCTCAAAGGGGCTGTAAAGGTCTTAAAAAGGAATAGAAAAAAAAAGAATAGGCACTTTGGGGTTTTTTAATTAAGATCACTGCAGACAAATATATCCTTTTTGCTGACAACTTAAAGGATCACAAAATTAATAAAAGCAGGTGTAGAAATGAAAAAAGTACAATGAGTTGAGTTCATTTGTGCATGTCCATCAAACATTGAATCAGGCATTATAAGATGCCTTTCAGACAAATTCTGGACCAATCTTCAAATTTCATTCAAACCTAATTTTTAGCTGAAAAATATAAATGTGGTATCCAAGGATATGAGGTAGCTCTACCTTATCTATCTGCCTTCTTTAGGTAGAAGGTGAGTTTTATAGGAAAAAAGAGTGGGTAAATTTGAAAAAATCAGAAATTTGTCTGATTGTTCAGTATCTTGCACACTTTTTAAATTTTTTTTAAATCCTACAATAAAATAAGAAATAAAGAGTAATTATAAATGTGTACTATATGCAAAAAAGTCTAAGATTAGATAACTTGTCTAAATAGCTCAATGAAGGGCTCAGTAAGGCCTGGTTTGGAAGCCTCTTATGCCACCTTCTTATTCACCTGGAGAATGTTTTAAATCAGTCTCTTAGCAATGTTTTTTGGCAGGTTCAAAATTGAGCTAAATGAAATAGTTCAGAAGCCCATGTTTACCACAGATTCAAAGCAGTTTGAGTCATCCTATAATGCAACAAAACAAACTAAATTAACTCTGACTTTAAAGCAACTCAAAGAATACTGTGCAGCAGTATCATTTTAATTCACTTTGATAAAGTCTTGTATTATTTAGCACCTCTCCTCTGATGTATAAACTACTTAGCTCACTATCATCTCTTAATTTGTCTTGAATTTTCCATATTCTTTTCAAGAGACAAATTTTTCTGTAGGGACTAGAAATATATTTCATTCATCTTTTATGGTAAAATATCACTACAGTTGTTGAAGAAACCATTGTGTGTCTCCAAGAAAGTGAAATTCTCAATTACTTTGCCTCTTGGTCTAAAATAGCAGCTTAATTTTGGCTTCTTGGCTCATAAAGAGTATAACAATATGGGAAATTGGGAAAAAAGTCTCCCTGCCCATGGCACAGGGGGTGGAACTAGATGATCCTTAGGTCGTTTCCAAAACAAACCTTTCTATGATTCTGTGAAAAGAATGCTGCTCACGGATGTTAGAATGGCATTTGAAGATAGAAACAATGTGAACAGTTAGTGTGCATACAAAGTAAATAACCCTGGGCCTCACACAGAGACAGAAATAAGTTCTGACAACTCAATTACCCTCACTCTCTTTCTTTGAACTCTCTGGTGCAGTTCACTTCCTGAGGTAATGGAATAGAATTTATGATTTCAAGCCTTACCAGTATGCACATCTATATTCAGATAACATGTGTAGGTGGAAGATACATTAAATTAAAATATTGAAATGAGAGTATTTGTAAAGCTTGATGTTTACAGCAGATTTTTTTTCCAGTTTTAAATTCTCACAAACACAATACCATATCTAAAACACAGAAATGGCTATTCTTTCAAGAAAGCTGTAGGGTCAAGCTACAAATTTTAAGTCAGCAAGGTTTCTAATTTTTTTAATTTGTTGTTCAAAGATTAGAAAAAAATACTTATATGAAGTTTTTTTTTTAAGTTGGGGCTTGGGTGTGTTCATGGATTTAACTGAAATGCAGCAGCATTCTCCTGTTTGATAGGATAGTCCCCAGGACAAGTAAGGCAGTTGCATACATAAAGGAACAACAGTAGGAAAATATTTTATGTACTTTCTTTGCTGTCCTTGCATGTGATTTATTAGCTGGAACATGGAAGAAAGCCAGCACACATGGCCAGTTTACACTCCGCAAGACGCCAGTTCAGGAACTTTTTGCAGTAATTAATCTAAACCATAGAATTAAAAACTAACCTTCACTGTCTTGTTTCTGTTCTTATGGTAGGAAGTTGCAGAACCACTGCTAGACCTGAAGGAGGGAATGGACCAACTGGAGCACAATAAAACTTTGGGATTTATCCTTTCTACTCTGCTAGCCATTGGGAACTTTCTGAATGGAACCAATGTAAGCCTGATGTCCCAGCATTTCCCCTGCAGCTTTTTACCTTCAAAAATACAGAAGTCAAAATCATTGTGAAAATTGCAACCCACTATTTATTTTGTACCAGAAAAGTAATTTAGGGAATATAACATGCTTTTATTCTGTGTTAGGGTGTTTTGTGTTGTATCTAACCTCTTTCAGCATAATCTGAAGGAAATGTGGAGCTAAGCACTGTTCTAGTGTAACTCCCTTGAGTGTAGTATTGATGCTTTGCATTCAAAGTGTGAGAACTATGTCATGGGTCATTTCAGATGAACTGATTTTAGGCCTAATCTTCAGCAAGTTAAAAATTACTGAAAGCAATGAGTTTCCTCTCCTGTAGGATTCTTCTTCTTTCCCCTCTGCCCCTGACTGGTCATCATTTTTGTCTACTAGTCTACATGAGAAGGAGTAAGCATTTTATTTTTAATGTCTTTTTTTTTAATGTCTTTATTTTTAATGTCCTTTTTTTCATTGCAGGCCAAAGCTTTTGAGTTGAGCTACCTCGAGAAGGTTCCAGAAGTCAAGGACACAGTGCACAAACAGTCCCTCCTGCACCATGTCTGCACTATGGTGGTAGAAAAGTTCCCAGACAGCACTGATCTTTATTCAGAGATCGGGGCCATCACTAGGTCAGCCAAGGTATGTCCAGTCGGTAAATACATCTCTATGTGCATTTTTTATAACACCTCTTTGAAGTGAAAGATTTAAGATTTTATTCTATTCTCTTCTTTGATTTTTTGATCCTCTCTGGTTGCAGCACTATTTATAAATATGTGTTCATTGTGTCATTTGCACTGAGTTTCAAAGATGCCAGTATTCCCTCTTCTGAACTTTATTTTTGCCTGTCACAAGGCTCCCTCATCAGTGCACTCTTAGGCAGCAGCCATTGGTTGTGACAGCCATGTTAATGTTATGTACATTATTAATGTACATAACTATTAGGAACTATTTTCAAGTTAAAACTTTGACCAGTATCTTCAGGTTCATTTATTCTGTGGCTTGGGGGAATCTCGTTTATAAAGCAGATGCCTGATTGTATTTTAAATCCAATGGAAGGAATAAATTTTTTACTAATAAAATTTGTCTCTAGAATTAAAGAGTCCTTGAAATACTCGGTTTAACTCACAGAATCACAGAATTGCTGGGGTTGGACAGGACCTCAGCATATGACTTAGTCCAACCCCGTGCTAAAGCAGGTTCACCTAAAGCAGGTTGCAGAAGAAAAGTCCAGGTGGGTTTTGAGCATCTCCAGAGGATCCTTGAGATCTCCTTAGGAGTTAGGGAACATAAATAGAAATAAAGGAATCTTGTCAAAAAATGGTAATTCCCTGGTTAATGCATAGGTCTGGTCAATGGCTCAGTATGGTATGGAAATTATAACTGCTATGACCAGACATGATAGGAACACTGTAAACTCACTCTTGAATCTCTCAGAGTGCAAAATTTCATTAATAACCCTTAAAAATAGTACATTGCTTGATTAATGGAGTAAACATGGGAGATAGCAAACATAAAAATTCTCTTTAGGAGTCATGTCTCATGAAAATGGTAATAATTACAGCAGATAATTATTGTCCTTCTAGTCTGGTGTCTTGATTAAGACAGTGGCCAATACCAGCTGCTTGACAGAAGAGCACAATAACTTTCTAAGAGAATGAAAGATTTCTCCTACAAAAATGTTATTTCATGAGCCATAATTCTCATTATGTGCATCAAACAGAGGAATGATTTCTTTTCCAAAGGCCACCTTATTTGGATATTGGGGGAGGAGCTGGAGAGTGTGGGGGTAAGCGACTCTGTTTGCCCCTACAACCCAGGACATCTGTATAATACAATACTTTATTTTTAACTGCAAAAATGAAATCTTCTTTTGGCTTCTAGTGCAGTTCTTGCAACAATGAATTCATAATCTTTTTTTTTTCTGCTGTTCAATTTGCTGGTTTCAGGAATTACTGTCTGAATATACTGAGCAGTAAAAATATTTTTTATTTCTAATGAACAGAATAACTTGGGTTGGAAAGGATCTCTGAAGGTCATATGATCCATCACCCTTTTCAGTGCAAGACCAGATTAAACTAGGCTGCTCAGATCTTTGTCTAAGTCTTAAATGATCCTTTTATATCTTTTGTTTATGAAACCATTTTCACACTTTTCCTTCATCTTACTTTTTAGAATGTGTTAAACAATAGTAAGACCAGTATCCCAGCCTCTCCTTATCACTGTCAAATCTTACTGTGTTTGTCCACTCTGCTACCTTTTGTTAGATGTTCTGAGGTTTTCTCTGTGTTCTTTGACTGCTGGTACCCTTTGGACACCCACTGTCCCAGTGCAGTTCCCAAGGACAGCCAGGCAGTCTCCTGAGCTGACAGAGCATTCCGAACTCCCAATGGAGTCAGATGCTGCCGTGCACTCTGCACTGCATTGCAGTCTGCAGCAGTGACCATGATCTGCTGAAGAAGATTTACTGCTTATCTCTCAAACCCCTGATGATCTTCAGTCAGGACTAATCTGAATAATTTCCTGCCATCTGTAGATTTTACCCTCTGGATGTGCTTCCTTGTTTCCAGATAATTTTGAAATACAAAGTAGAAACCATGAGACGCCTGCTCTTAGCCCTGTCACCAAATGAGAATCGATGTGTATTCCTTCTTTTCTTTTGCTCTCTTAACCTCACAATTCATAGGTGGCCTCCCATGAGTCCCTTGAAAAGATTTTGAAATTTAATTTTCTTACTTAGTCTTATCTATTTCCTATTTTATAAACATTCAGAATATAGTGGTTATTTTTATGTATTAAGTTTCCTGTCACTCATCCTTTCGCCAAGTTACCAGATGCAGTAACAAAACCTGGACCTCTGCACCAACTTTGCTGCTTTTCTAGGGATAGGCAAAACTTCCACTATCCTTTTATTCTCTAAGTTACCAAGTATAGTTTCATACATATTCATGTTCATTTTAGCCAGTGCTTCAATTTCTAGATTTTAATTGATGTCATAATTACTGTATTCTACTTGTTTAGTTCTTTGTAAGATATCATCTCTCTCCAACATGTATTTCTGCTAGTAAGGTTTCAAACCTTACTATCAGTTCACATCTCTTAAAAATATAATACAGAAAAAGGAAAGGAGCACCAGAGTAGTTTTTTCCCCAACATCCTCTGTGGTGAAGCTGGATGAAAAGAAGTAATCTTGCTTCCCTTTTCTAATTTTTGTCTTCCTCAGTTTCTTTCCTCCCCAGTGATCCAGGACCCCCTACATTTTTTTTTTTTGGTACCATAAAGGAATTTGTGGCTTTTCTTTTATATCCTTAGATATTTTCTCTTTAGATTCCATCTCTTTTCTCCTAGTTTTCCTCTTGTACAGCCTATGTTTAGGCTCTGGTTTATTGCCTTCAGTGAGTTTGGTTTCTCATGTTTGGAAGATTTTAACTTTCTATTGTGTTTTTGGTTTTAATTTGAGTGATTCTTACTTTTTTAGCATTTAGGTATATTGTTTTCTCATTTCCTGCTTCTTCCCTTTGCTAAGAAGTTATTTCCCTTTTTTCTTAGATTGGGATCAAAATTCTCACCACCATGTATGGTATTCTCCCAAGTGGTTCTTCTATTTTTCAGTCATAGAAAGTGGAAGAAAGCTTAACCTACTGCTGTCACTTAAAAAAAATGTAGGTCTAAGAGCGTGCAAAATTGAGCACAGTCTTTCAGTCTGTGGTTTGCTGATCCAGTGGCCCTGCCCAAAGCGGACGAAAATCCAAAAAGGCCAGACAAAATCACATTAAGAGAAATTATAGCCTTAACCTTCCCCGTGTCGCCCAAGGTCTCCCTCCTTGGGATGTTCCTGCATGTGTTAAACCACTGATGGATTTCTGTAACAAGCTCTATTCCCACTTGATCATAGCTGCCACAAATCAGAGAGTTAGGATGTGGAAGCCATCCAAGCTGCCCTCTTCAAGGGAATGTTCACAGACAAGGCGAAATCTTGGTTTAGGAAAGCTGACAGGAAAGGAGAACTAATATATCACTGTGGATTAGGCTGTATTTTGAGCTCTGTTTTGCCTACAAACATCTTTCAGAAACCACAAAGGCTAAACAATTTCCATCCTGTAGATAAACAGAGATGCCCCTTCCCCTGAAATGCACATCATAGAAGAATTTCCTGAGCATTAGTTCATGAAAAAACCCAAAATCATAAAGAAAACAGGCTGCCCCACCAAAAAGGAGCTAAAAGACCAGAAACAAAATGGTATAGTTATTGCAAAACTTGTTGCTTTTTACTGAAGGACTGGAGTCATAAATAGCACCAAAAAAAAACCACACAAGTGAAAAAATTTGAGAAGAAATACAATTCTAGATTAAAAAAAGCATTTATAAAGTCACGCACAGCACTGATTATTTAGTATCACATGATTAAAATCACTTATCTTTTTTATTTTCTTGATATTTTAAGTTGCTTTTTCACTGAAGTTGTACCAAAACTGATGTACCCAGTACTGAAGCAGACCCTCAGATTTCTGCAGTTAAGATCGAGTGTTGTTCCTAGAAATTTCCTTAAGAAGTGGTTGCCTCAACCCCAATATCTCCTCTGTTAGTGAATAAAAAATGCGTCCATATTAAAAATGTTCATCTTCTCTCTCTTACCCAGAAATATTTCCCCTGTGCACCTGAAAACTGGCCAGCTCTATAGATAAACTATAATTGTCATTTTCTTCCCCTGATTTTAATTCACTTACAAGATGTCAAACTTCTGTCTGGTTTTTTACCCCTGCAGCAAGACACTTGAGCACAGGACACTCACAGCTACTAAGCAGTGGAGAAGCAGGCAGGCTTTTAAAAGTAAGAAATAGGAAATGTTAGCAACACAGGAGGGGACAAGGACTGCTGTTAGGAAAGAATGTAGGATGAGCCTAAGGCATACACAGGGGACAAGAAAGCCTGCAGCAGCCTGCCCTCCAAGGACCTTAGCAGGGAGGCATAAGGAGGCAGGAGCTGGCTGGAACAGAAGTGATATTTGACATGCTGTAGCTTCCACCTGATACAGTGGAAAGCAGAGAAAGGATAAAAAAAAAAAACCTAAAAAAGGTAGGGGAAAATCATGTTGCCTCCTGTACTCTTTCAGTGTGGTTTCTCATGTCTCACTTGACAGAAAGTATTTGTGTGCAGTTATCGTTCAAGTATGTTTTCCCTACATTATTTCAAACAAAAATAAATGCCAAAAGTCAAATTATTTTCCATGGAAAAAAAGTCCAGGAATGCAAGGTTTCTTGCAGTCATTCCTTGTGATGCCAGCAGCTGCCTCAGATCATGGCATGGGCTAGCAGGAGCAGAGGTGAAAGCAGAGCAGGCAAAGGCAGATCCTGTTGGCTACAGAGCATACTGGGGCAAGGGGAAAGGAGTTTCCATGGCAAATGAGACTTTGAGGTTGTGTCTCAAAGAGAGCAGATGAAGTTTAGCACAGGTACCTGATGGCACTGTGGGGTTTCAATAACATTCCAGGTGATATGACTGCAGGAATTGTTGCAGGTGACATAACACTATCTGAAGGGACCTACGTCACCGCTGCCTGATATGGCTCTCCTTTGTCCCAGATTATGGGAACTGCCATACAGCATCTGCAAAAAGGTCCCATGTAGTTAGGATATTGTTCA